TATTGGCAAAGCAAGCCTCGATGCATATAGTTTCTATACTAATTCCTTTTTTATTAACATAAAAATAATATATATATATATATATATATATATATATATATATATATATATATATATGGGGTTTGCATTTGTCATTTAACATGACACAACAAACTTTCCTACACACACAACATTTTATGGGGCCCGCACTTTTTGAAGAAAAAAGAAAAAGAAAATTACGGCACGCAAAACGAATCTCTATAACATTACATAATCATTTTTCCTATAACATAACTCTTATAAAACCCTATATATATATATATATATATATATATATATATATATATATATATATATATATATATATATAAGGCTTTATGTCTCTCTTTTCACAGGAGGGACTTCCCATCTGCAATTGAGACATAAAATGTTGGGGTCCACGTGAAATTAAAAAAGATGAAGGACACAAATTATGATGGTGTCTGCAGGAAAAGATTTCTATCTCCAGCAACATAAGAATCATCTGCAATTGAGACATAAAATGTTGGGGTCCACGTGAAATTAAAAAAGATGAAGGACACAAATTATGATGGTGTCTGCAGGAAAAGATTTCTATCTCCAGCAACATAAGAAAATATATATATATATATATATAAAGACAAGTAGCAACATAATTAAATTAATAAAATAAAGAGGATGACAAATTATGGTATTCACATAAAGTCAAGTAGCAACATAAGTAAATAAAATAAAATAAAAAGGATGACAAAAATATGTTATTCACATAAAGTTTTACATTGGTTAAACATAAACCAAGTGAGGATGATATAAATACTCAAAGACTCATAAATTTATAACCTTAATGTTTTGGCTTGAGATGTGATGCTAACTCATTTATTTCTTCCTAAAGGTAGAGGTTCTTGCAACATGTCAAGCGCGAATTGTAATATCCCGGGCGTCGACGAGGGCAAAGAGTGATCGTCAGTGAACATGAGAGACACGAACAAGGAGTGACTCTTAGAAGGCTTCCAGCGAAAAGGGGTACATAAATGTATTGAATCAACACCAAAATGAGAGGGATCCAGAGGCTGTGCAAGTATGAGATTGTACAGTTGAGGATAGCTTAAAAAATTTAATAGGTACTGCCTATACCAATAGAATACATCTACTTTTCGGTAGCCCATAACTTAAGAACTCCATAGTTTCTCAGGAAATGTGGGAGTGAGGACAAAGCACGCTGAAAAATTTTATGTTAATTTATGAGGATAGTTATTGATCCTACAAGCGACTGGGCATTATACAAATAGTTTTTTTTTCTTATAGTATATTTTTATTTATTCTATAAATAAATAAAGTGATTCATATTTCATATTTTAAGTTTAATATTACCTTTTTACTAATTAACTTTATAAAACCAAATTTTAGTTAATAATAATTATATATCAAATGTATCTATTTTTTCAACAAATTTTTATAATTACTATTCAAATTACAATTGTTATGATTTAAATATACAAAAGGATATCATATATCTTATTTATTAAAATGTAATTTTTTGTCGTGTTATTAAACCCGGTCCGACCTGGCTGGGTCGACCCTGGAACCGGTGAACCGGTCATATAACCGGTTCGGTTGATATAACAGACCGGCCATGCATCAGAACCGGTGTGACCCGACCAGTTTTCATGAAAATCGGTGACCCGGTCGGTTAACCGGTGACCCGGCCCGGTTCCAAAAAAAAAATCAAATTATTTATTTTTTCAAAAATAAATAAATCATAATAGACATATTTGAATTTTTTTTTTCTTATTGACTTACATAAGTTATGTACTTACAACACTAATATTATCTCAATTATGCACTATTCAGAAAATTTTGATTTGATTTATAGTTAAAGATGTCGTTTTCTGAACCTAAAGCCCCGTATCACGATCATTATATTTTTGTTTGATCATTTATTGGATAATAATATGTGATTTATTATTTTTTATATTAAAATATTTGAAATTTTTATCATTTTTTTTTTAAATATTTGAGTATGCTTATAATTTTTTAATGTAAATCATAAAAATACATATAATTACCGAGTCATGCGGTTGAATCAGTGATCTATTGGTTGAACTAGTGACCCACTGACCCAGTACATCGATCGGGTCAATGACCGGACCGATTTTAATAACATTGATTTTTTGTGTAAGTTCTTTTTTTTTTGTAATACCTACAAAACAAGAGAAATTAAAAGATCTATGAAAGCATCCTGAAGAAGAAGCTCTAACCGAAAGAGAGGGAAGCTCTAACCGAAAGAGAGGGGGATTAGGATAAACAATGAAATTTCTAGGACCATCAAACTGCCTAGTTGCAAGTCAGTGGGCATATCTGTTATTCTATCTTTTAGTTTGAACCCAACATACATTTCAATCTTCTAAGAGCCACTTATGAATATGGAAAACAACCTGGAAATTTCTGGAGTTATTATTTTTGTCTTGTATTACACTGATTACATTCAAAGAGTCACATTCCAATTTTATTCTCCTAAAACCAATTTCCCAAGCCATCTCTAAACTTTTGAGGATGCTCCAAATTTCTGCATCTAATGGATTGCAGAAGCCTAATCTGAAGAAGAAACCATTCAGAAAGGCACCATTATGATATTATGATATCTAATAAGGCCCCCGCAACTAGCAGACTTCTTATGAAAGGATGAGGCACTATATGTATTGATCTTCAACCAACCAAGATTCGGACGACTCCACTCAGAAGGCTGCCGGACATTAGGATTGCTACCCAGAATGCTTTTGTTTTTCTCCCTCGCTGCATATAAATGAGTAATATAATCAGAAATTACGAAATTATCTCTGGTTGGTCTCCGAAAGCTGACATCGTGAATTTGATGGTTACGTTCTTTTATTGATTGAGGTCGGATTTTTCTCTCTCGAAAGGGTCAGCTCGTAAAAGAATCATACATTTTAATTGAGAATCATATATTTTAATCAAATATTTTGTTTGGCTTTTATCTTTACACAATCGAACCACTCGATGGCATGGAAAAGGGATTTGTAGTAGTTGAATTGGTAGTCCGGATGGGAATTTTTATTTTCGCTTGATGTAATAAATTTTAAAAAATTTCTATATAAGGTAACTTCAAAATAAATTTTTTGATTATTATAATTTCAAGAAAGTCAGTTGTGAATCTTGACTTATATTTTCTTAAATATATTATATCTTACAAGCACAAATCAAAATTGAGTTCATTTTTAAATATTTATATTGTTGCAAGTCAAATTTCACATAAAGAACCTTCTAGATTTTTTATCTGAATAAAAATATCGTTTACTTTACTACAGCAACTTTCACGTTTTATTAAAAAAAAAAAAAAACAAAGCTTGACTTCCAGATTTCAAGTCTTCCACCAATAACCGGTCTGCAGGCTAGGCTCAAACAAATTGCATAGGTAAGCGCTTACATCACCAAAACAACTATGAAGGTGCTTTAGGAGAAGTGTCCTACACTACAGATAACCAAGTTGTGAAGTGTTTATTCGAACCCCCCCAAATCGAAATGGCGTCCCAACCACCTCAGCTTCACTTTGTCTTGTTTCCGCTAATGTCCCCAGGCCACATGCTCCCCATGATTGACCTTGCAACAATGTTGTCACAGCACAACGCAATTGTTACCTTAGTCACAACCCCACATAATGCTACTCGTTTCTCAGAAACCTTTGCTCGAGCCTCACAATCTGGCCTTCAACTCCGTTTAGTTCAACTCCAATTTCCATCTAACGAAGCTGGATTTCCAGAAGGGTGTGAGAATTTTGACATGCTGCCTTCAATGGGAATGGGGTTGAGTTTCTTCATCGCAGCAAACAACATTCTACAGGACCCAGCCGAGAAAGTGTTTGAAGAATTAACACCACGGCCACACTGCATAATATCTGATTGCAGTTTGCCATATACTGCACACATAGCTACAAAATTCAACATTCCCAGGATTTCTTTCTACGGAGTGAGTTGCTTCTGTCTCCTGTGGCAGCAAAATTTGGTCATCTCTAAGGTTCTTGAGAACATAAAAACAGATTCAGAGTACTTTGTCATACCCGACATCCCTGACAAAATTGAGACCACCAAAGCTCAGACACCGGAAGCAATGAACGAAAATTGGAAGGAGTTTGTTGACAAAATGGCCGCAGCTGAAATGGTTAGTTATGGGGTGGTTATGAATTCTTTTGAGGAGTTGGAGGGAGCATATGCCAGGGATTACAAGAAAGCCAGAAATGATAAATTGTGGTGTGTTGGTCCTGTTTCACTCAGAAACAAGGATCACTTGGATAAGGCTCGGAGAGGGAACAAAGCCTCAATTGATGTGGACCATTGCATGAAGTGGCTAGATTTGCAAAAACCAAGTTCAGTAATTTACGCATGCTTAGGAAGCATATGCAATTTAACTCCTTTGCAGTTGATAGAGCTTGGTATGGCATTAGAAGCATCTAAAAGGCCATTCATTTGGGTTATTAGGGAAAGAAATCAATCAGAAGAACTGAATAGGTGGATTAAGGAATCTGGGTTTGAGGAAAGGACTAAAAGTTTGGGCCTTTTGATCCGGGGTTGGGCTCCTCAGGTATTAATACTGTCACACCCTGCAATTGGAGGGTTCTTAACACACTGTGGTTGGAATTCAACCCTAGAAGCAATATGTGCTGGCGTGCCAATGCTTACGTGGCCATTATTTGGGGATCAGTTCTTTAATGAGAAGTTTGTTGTGCAAATATTAAGAGTTGGAGTGAGAGTTGGTGTAGAGAGTCCTGTAAAGTGGGGAGATGAAGAGAAAACTGGGGTCTTGGTGAAGAAGGAAGATGTTGAGAAGGCTATAGACAAGTTAATGGATGAGTCAAATGAAACTGAAGAGAGAAGAAAAAGGGCTAGAGAGCTTGCGGAGATGGCTAAGAGAGCTGTTGAAGAAGGAGGGTCTTCTCACTTCAATGTGACCCTGCTAATCCAAGATATCATGCAACAATCTAACAAAGACTAACATTTTTTCCACTTGTCAAAAGCAGATTGATGATGTTTGTCTAAGTTGATATGGCTAAGGTGTGGAGCTATTTTTATGCGTATCTTATTGAATGCAATAAGTTCCTCTATACCAAGCGCTTCTGCTTTTTGAATAGAAGTTCACAATCTTCTACGGTTTTTTTATGATTGTTAGAATGTTAACCTTTTAATATAGTTTTTTCCGTTAAAATAAAAAATAAATAAAAATTATTTTAAGAATTGCTAACCATTAGATTTGCAAATTACGACTACACCATCAGTGGTTCAAAAACCAACAGTAGGAGTTGGAGTTCCTAAAAAAACGTCGTTGACGGCGACCTTTAACATTGATCTTATCTCCTAAAACTAAAAATTTGAATTTGTCGAGTAATAACCAAATTCTGCAACTCTCACAGTCACTTCAAACACACTCACGCACTGTACCCGACTGAGACAATGTTTGGAGGGGCAGCCAAAAGCGTCACAAATTTGTGCTCATCTTTTTCATTCATATCCAAAACCCCAACATCAACGCCTTCTAAATTGGCTTTCCCTTCCGATCGCTGTCGCTGTACAAAATTCCCCACAATTTCAGCAGTTGCTAACACCGTTCAGCTTCCACCCACCACCGAGTCCCTCACACCGGGTCAGTTCCGAGTCGACATCCTCTCCGAATCGCTCCCCTTCATCCAAAAATTCCGAGGAAAGATCATCGTCGTCAAGTACGGAGGCGCCGCCATGAAGTCCCCTGAGCTACAAGCCTCCGTCATCAACGACCTCGTCCTCCTCTCCTGCGTGGGTCTCCGCCCCGTCATGGTTCACGGCGGAGGCCCGGAGATCAACAACTGGCTCGGCCGTCTCAACATTCAGGCCGTCTTCCGCGACGGCCTTCGAGTCACCGACGCTGAGACCATGGAGATTGTTTCCATGGTGCTCGTCGGCAAGGTCAACAAGACCCTGGTGTCTCTCATCAACAAAGCAGGGGCCACAGCCGTCGGCCTCTCCGGCATGGACGGCCGCCTCCTGATGGCTCGACCTAGCCCCAGAGCCGCCGACCTAGGGTTCGTTGGCGAGGTGGCGCATGTGGATCCGACTGTTCTCCGGTCGCTGATCGATAACAGCCACATTCCGGTGGTGACGTCTGTGGCGGCGGATGAGTTCGGACAGCCGTACAACATAAATGCTGATACGGTGGCTGGAGAGTTGGCGGCGGCGCTAGGGGCGGAGAAATTGATATTGTTGACTGATGTGGCGGGGATATTGGAGGATCGGAATGACCCGCAGAGCTTGGTGAAGAAGATTGATATAAGAGGGGTGAAGGGTATGATAGAGGATGGCAAGGTTGGTGGTGGCATGATTCCGAAGGTGAATTGTTGCGTGCGATCCCTCGCACAAGGTGTTAAAACGGCCAGTATTATTGATGGCAGGGTCCCACACTCTTTGTTACTCGAGATTTTGACTGATGAAGGTGCTGGAACTATGATAACTGGATAACTTAATTATGTTCTTCTATTTATATAGTTAAAAAGGCCATTCAAGGTCTTTCTTGTTATTCTGTGTTTTTTCCAATCCTGTGTACCTTCAAGTTTAAATACTTGTTTTTGTTAGATTCATGATTGGTTATGTTTATCATATATTGAATGAAAACCTCAGACAAAAGCGATGTTATGGTAGAAGGGAGCTGATACATCAAACTAATATCATAGATTCATTAAATATGTACAAAATCATACCAAAATCATTCTCTAAATCATACCACATAGGAAAAGTATTGGTTCTTGGATTCCGAGGCAAAAATTGGAGAAGCAAAAAATATGTACAATCCTAGAAAGAGGGAATTTTTTTTTTTCCAATTCCCTCAAATTTAGATGACAAAACACTATATTTGACTGCTAAACTTGCCTACTTCACCAAAATATAAGTTAATATCAGGCCTAAGTGGACTCCGATAAGGGATGTTTATCACTTCCCACCAGCAACTTTCAATGGGAAACACTTGCCTCCAATATTGAAGATTTTCAGAAGTAGCTGTAAGATCAAGTTAACTGCCTTTTGTCTTCCTTTGCTTCCCTGGTTTTGAAACTTTAATTAACTTTGTCTTTGAATGTTAATTGCAGGAAAAATTTCTCATTCAGCCAGTCTGCTGCGGAAGTTGCTATTGGCAAGAAGCTTCAAAGTGATGCTATTCCTATTCTTGAAAAGATTCGAAAGGTATGAATCTGCTTTTGTTTATTGTTTGACAGGTGTCTATTCTAGGGAATACCCTTATCGTGGTTTGAGATATTGAAATAAACTTTAAAGCAAAATCAATGCAGAAGAAAGAAAGAGCAGTAAAACAAAAGCAGAGGCAGGACATGCTCTTAAAAGATTCTCGGAATTCTTATTGTTCTGGAAATACACGCTCTTGTCGCACTCGGATGCATATTAGATACACATTTGGTAAGATACGTATTAAATGTTCATTTATGTGGAATATGCCTTTTGTGTTTTAGCACTTACAAATTCTTTAGGGAAGGGATTGAAAAGTGTTGGGAGAAGAGCATGGAGAGTGTATGCTAGAAAGAATAAAGAAAGTTGTCAGGTTAGTTAGAGAAGTCAGAAAGACAGTTAGTTAGGATGGCATTAAGAAATTAGGTGACTAAATTTGTTTTGGTGCAAATTCCAATTTGAGTATCAAATTCTATTTATTCCTCTCATTTTATAATAGGTATTTTGTACACGGAGTTGAGTAAAATTTTATGGGGTATCTTTTGGAAATACTGTGTAACCGAGCGTGTTACTCTGGAAAAGGGGATTAGCCGTGGAGGAGATCATTCTCCTTGACACAAGATATGCAATAACAGAGAACTCTTCTCTTTCTCTCTATCTTCCCTTCCCTGTACCGTTAAAATTCTGAGGCATTGGACAATTGTTATCTTGCATATTTACGGAGTTGTTGACCTTTTTGTGATCTGTACTTTGTCGTTTACATATTACTTGCATGGTTAGTGAGGGTGGGTCTTGTCAATTGAGCATGTGAGGATGTCTGTGCATGTGGGTATTGTCAATCTGATGCCTTTGAACTTGAGCTGTTATCAGATAATTTCACTCATTATATTGTTCGGTATTGCTTTTTCTAAATTTTCTCTGATCAAATAAATTCAACCTCACTTTAAGTAGTCTCGTGATTTTTTGTATCAGTTTATAGTCTTAGGAACTGGTGGGCAGTGCTTTCATGAAAGTCAAGTATCTAATGGTTATTTTAAACAAGGATGTTTAAGTTATTTAAAAATCTATTCTCATCAATGCTATTTCAATGTTAGGAATTGCATTTCTAGTTTCCATCCTGACCCCTATTAGTATTTTCCCATTAGCTATCGATTCAGTATGCTAATCCGAATTAGATTGAGTGAATTATTAACGGCTACACACATTTGATGTGGTAAATAATCATGCAGTGCTTGATGCTTCTCATTGTTGGATTGGTTTCCTGTCTCCTTCCTCTAAATGTATCGAAAGTTATGAGTTGAGTATAAGCTGTTCCAATTAGTTCTTTCTGCCTCTTTATTATATCAGTTGGATTTCTAGACATTAATCAAGTTCTGTTTGGGAAATATTGCTGAAGCTTATGATTGAACGATGAAGGAGGCAATACAGTTGACAAAGTATGCTTTATGTCATTATGTGATATTGTATCTTATTAGTTCATGTTCTTTCTGCTTTCCCATGTTGTATTGTCCTTGTAGAATGTTGATAATTTTTCTGATGATTAGATGTTGGGTCAAGACCCAAGATTAACATCCCCCCACAAAAAAAAATAAAAAATAAAAAATAAAAACACCCACACCACCACTCCCAAACAAAAAATAGAAGTGAAGTAAACAAAAAGGAAAAAAAACAGAAACAAAAACTAATCAAAAAATACTAATGACCTTCTCCCTCCCTATAGAGTATAGAGGCAAGATTAGCATGATATAATAATAGTATATCACTGGGAGGTTCCACAAATACCATCTGGTTTGCAAGAGCAAACTTATAATCACTTGTTCCCTAAGGCTCTGAAGCCATATACAAAACTATTTCAATCCAAAGTTCAAGTTGTTGAATGGGTTTTTTAAAATAATTGTAATTTAAAAAAAAAAATTGTTCTTGGCACGTTTGGCCTCAAACTGGTCAGACAAGTCTTTTCTCTAGCCATCTAAGCTTTGGGTTTATGTATGCTCTCCATAAGAACTCTCTTGTTCTTGAGAATGTTAACCTTCATGTACATGTCAGGTTACGTGTGCTTGTCAATCTTCTTAGCTTACCTGTACTTGCGCAGCAAGTGTTTTGAGTACACGCATTTATTTTTGTGGGAAACTTTGCCTCCTGTTACCCTTGTGCTTACCTAGTAGTGTTCGGGAAGACATTATAAGTAGTCATGCATTCTCTCCCAACGACCACGAAATAAATCATTTCATGCCCACCCAGAAAAGTTTCATATAAACATAAACATAGTACAAGTAACACATGTCTCCTAATCAGAAAAACAATTACACTGATTTATCCAAATATAAGCAACTTAGTAAAATATTGACAACATCTTATCAATTTCAAAATGAATTAACCAATGATTAATGCCGTTATTACGACCATAGTTTCTAAGAATTAGCTTACAAACTAACAAGGTTTAGATCCCCCGAATAGATTGCGAAATTATGAATTAGAATCCGTTATTTATGATTTTAATAATAAAATAAGGGCGTAATTACAATGATTTTAAAATTTTATTATTATTATCATAATTTACTTATAATTTGCATGTGTTATTATATTTTTTTTTTATAATTTACTTATAATTATAAAACTAATTTACTTATGATTTTAAAAATATTTTATTATACAACCCAGCTCTTAATAATAATAATAATAAATCTACATGTGTTATAACTCCGTATTATTAATTATTTAATAATAAAATAAAGGCGATAAGTAGAGATGTAAATGGGTCAGCTTACAGTTTCGCCTATTTAAGGCTTGATCCGACCTACTCTATTTTTCTAAATAGAGCAGACTTAGACTGTTAAAAAAGTTCATTTAAAAATTAGGTTATAGCTCCACTTTAAGAATGACCTAAAAGTCTACAGGTTAGGCTTTTAATTTTTTTAATAATGTAGTATATTTATGATATATTGTTCACTTAAAGACATATTCTGAGATAATGATTTGTAACACTAATTTTAAAAGTAATAAGTTTGATGTTATTTTAACAAATCATAAATATTTATTTAAAATTTAAAATGTAATATTAAATTAAATTAGTAAATAAAGTGCAAATTATATGTATTTATGTATATAAAATTTTCATGTGATCTTTACGAACATTGTTTCATGTGCTGTTAATGAAAATATTATTTCATGTGATCTTTGTTAATAAGAAATTTTATTTTTTATATTTCAGTTTGGTTTGGACTTTAAATTTTAGTTTGTAACTTGGTAGGTTTCTCAGACCATGTTAGACTTTTTAATTTTTAATATTTGACCAGACCTGACCTGACCTATAAATCATGTTTTTAATAGGCCAATATAGTCTTTAAATATTTTACATAGGCTTAGGCTATCAAAGCTAAAACTTGGTCTAACCTGGTCCAATTTCACCTTTAATGGTGATGATCAAATTTATGACCTTTGGATCATTAAGGTTCTAAAATCATGTAAAAAATCATTTTATTCCAAAGTTTAAACTGTTAAATGAAGTTATCATAATGATTTTATATTTCTCTTTGTAAAATCGTTGTAATTTTAAATAAAATTTAAAGTTATAACTTATAAGCTATGATGCACAGACACGGGACACGACACGACACACCAACACGTTAATTTTAAAAAATGTCATATTTCGATACGTTGAGACACGTTTTGATATTAAATGAAATTTTTAATATATATAATATAATTTATATTTAATACATATAAGAGTCCATAATAAGTTATATAACCAATCAAATATTTAAATTTCATAACATAAATATAAATATAAATAATTTTTCGTACTTTGTTAATTTTTCGTGTCAAATTTCATAAGAGAAAAAAATTAACTTACAAATTATTTCTTTTATATTTAGTTAACAAAATAAAATTAAGATTTTTTTTGTTTAAAAAAAAAGTGTCCGAACGTGTCTCAGCATTGATCGCGTGTCGAAAAAAAGTTGATTGCGTGTCGAAAAAACGTGTCAGAGAGTTGACCGCGTGGCGGAACGTATCGGAGCGTGTCCATGTCGGACACACAATTTTTTTTTAAAAAGGAGTGTCTGTGCTTTGGAGCTTATAAGTAATTTACAAAATTTACGCTGACAAAGTCAAAAAAAATCCGGTTAAGGTGCTTTAGGAATTCAAACACCTATCCTTGGTTTTTGAACCACGGATTGTGTAGTCGTATTTGCAAATCTATTGGTTAGCGATTCTTAAAATATTTTTTATTTATTATTTTAATGTAAAAAGCTATATTAAAGGTTAAAATTTTCACAATCATAAAATAACTGAAGATTGTGAACTTTTATTCAAAAAGCAAAAGCGCTTGGGGAATATCTTGACAACTTAGCCATATCAACTTAGACAAACATCATCAATCTGCTTTTGACAAGTGGAAAAAATGTTAGTCTTTGTTAGATTGTTGCATAATATCTTGGATTAGCAGGGTCACATTGAAGTGAGAAGACCCTCCTTCTTCAACAGCTCTCTCAGCCATCTCCGCAAGCTCTCTGGCCCTTTTTCTTCTCTCTTCAGTTTCATTTGACTCATCCATTAACTTGTCTATAGCCTTCTCAACATCTTCCTTCTTCACCAAGACCCCAGTTTTCTCTTCATCTCCCCACTTTACAGGACTCTCTACACCAACTCTCACTCCAACTCTTAATATTTGCACAACAAACTTCTCATTAAAGAATTGATCCCCAAATAATGGCCACGTAAGCATTGGCACGCCAGCACATATTGCTTCTAGAGTTGAATTCCAACCACAGTGTGTTAAGAACCCTCCAATTGCAGGGTGTGACAGTATTAATACCTGAGGAGCCCAACCCCGGATCAAAAGGGCCAAACTTTTAGTCATTTCCTCAAACCCAGATTCTTTAATCCACCTATTCAGTTCTTCTGATTGATTTCTTTCCCTAATAACCCAAATGAATGGCCTTTTAGATGCTTCTAAGGCCATGCCAAGCTCTATCAACTGCAACGGAGTTAAATTGCATATGCTTCCAAGGCATGCGTAAATTACTGAACTTGGTTTTTGCAAATCAAGCCACTTTATGCAATGGTCCACATCAATTGAAGCCTTGTTCCCTCTCTGAGCCTTATCCAAGTGATCCTTGTTTCTAAGTGAAACAGGACCAACACACCACACTTTATCATTTCTGGCTTTCTTGTAATCCCTGGCATATGCTCCCTCCAACTCCTCAAAAGAATTCATAACAGCCCCATAACTAACCATTTCAGCTGCGGCCATTTTGTCTACAAACTCCTTCCAATTTTCATTCATTGCTTCCGGTGTCTGAGCTTTGGTGGTCTCAATTTTGTCAGGGATGTCGGGTATGACAAAGTATTCTGAATCTGTTACGTTCTCAAGAACCTTAGAGATGACCAAATTTTGCTGCCACAGGAGACAGAAGCAACTCATTCCGTAGAAAGAAATCCTGGGAATGTTGAATTTTGTAGCTATGTGTGCAGTATATGGCAAACTGCAATCAGATATTATGCAGTGTGGCCGTGGTGTTAACTCTTCAAACACTTTCTCAGCTGGTTCCTGTAGAATGTTGTTTGCTGCGATGAAGAAACTCACCCCCATGCCCATTGAAGGCAGCATGTCAAAATTCTCACACCCTTCTGGAAATCCAGCTTCGTTAGATGGAAATTGGAGTTGAACTAAACGGAGTTGAAGGCCAGATTGTGAGGCTCGAGCAAAGGTTTCTGAGAAACGAGTAGCATTGTGTGGGGTTGTGACTAAGGTAACAATTGCGTTATGCTGTGACAATATTGTTGCAAGGTCAGTCATGGGGAGCATGTGGCCTGGGGACATTAGCGGAAACAAGACAAAGTGAAGCTGAGGTGGTTGGGACGCCATTTCGATTTGGGGGTTTCGAATAAACACTTCACAACTTGGTTATCACTTATCAGTAGTGTAGGACACTTCTCTTAAAGCACCTTCATAGTTGTTTTGGTGATGTAAGCGCTTACCTATGCAATGAGAATATTCTCCTATGCAATTTGTTTGAGCCGCCAAGCTTGCAGACCTGATATTGGTGGAAGACTTGAAATCTGGAAGTCAAGCTTGTACAGTTCTTTAGTTTATATCAACTAATTATTATGTAGATGATGATTGCTTATTTTTGGTTCAAGGGTATAGGGGACTTGTTATTCTTTTATCAGGCAAGGGTTCTTGCTTTTTCTATTTAAGTGAAATTGTTTGAAGTTTTGCTAAGTTTTCTTTTCACAGATTTACACTTTTTTGTTCTGACAAATAAATTTACCCAACTTCATAAAATCTAATGTTATACAAAATCTACTAAAAAGAATGACCGATTTTAATGAACATAATCTTGTACACAAGTAAGACTCTTTAAGTGTTATTTCTTAATACAATCTTCTTGTTCATTAGTCGAGGATTTTTTCTATTTATACAAGCAGTCAATAATAACTAAGAAATTAACTATTTAATTAATAGTAACTAATTACAAATCAGATATAATAAAATACAATTCCTATTACAATGAAATTTTGACATCAAATTACATATATTTTTAATTATCTATTTCAAAATTTAACAAAATTTTCTAAATTGTGAAAACTTAAATTCGAAAACATGGTATTATGTTTTTATTTTCCAGTATAAAGCAAATCCCCCTGTCTATTTCGGATAAAACTTGTGACCTGTCCCACATCATTGTTGTTGCATAAATGTAGAAATGTACAATTGATTCTAGTTCAATGGCTGCCTTTCACTTTCTGGGCGAGACAGGATGCTTAAGAAATATGAAAAGCAGTGATAGTATTTTTTATTTCCTTAAAAAAAATGAAGTCTTCTTTAATTTTTATTTGAAATATGTTACTAGATTAGTTAGTACTAATTGATTTTTAGTGTTATTGAATTTTAATTAAAATTTATGTAATAATATTTTCACCATGACAATACTGTTAATTGGTTAGGTAACACCATAAAAAATCCATTTATACCTTTTTTTATTGGAAAAAGATTATAGTTAAATCGGAACTAAAATGTCCTAAAGAGCCAAATTTCATTGTATGATTATTTCAATGATAAATATGAAAATTAAATATTTTGATAAGATGCCAAAAGAGATTAAATACAATAGCACTTCCGTGTCAAATTTGCCAGACCGTGGTCCAAAAAGGGAAAAAGAAAAAAAACTGCTAAAAACAAAAAGAAAAGTAAAGCTGAGTGTTACTTACCTTACCATAATTGAATATCGAATTGAATTGGATTAGCCTTTGCCTTTACGCAGCTCCACTTCTTTAGGACGATAGAACCAATTCCTAAGGAGCGTTTTTTTTTTTTTTTTTTATTCGATTTTTTTTTTTAAGGTATTATTACCTTGGAGTTTATTAGTATCAAGTAACTGTAAAACAAAAGTTGATTCCTGCCCTCACATGCAAAAGCAGGACCCCCTAGGTAAAACAAAAAAAACAAAAGAAGAAAGAATAGCGCACTTACCGATGTGAGAGCAGGAAACAAAATGACTTTACTGTTACTTGATACAAATAAAACCCTATTACCTTTCTCTCCCATTTCTTGTTGGCACTAATTTTCAATGCCTATTGAATAATAATAATAATAATAATCTTAGTTACTTATACTCTTTTCTTTTAATATTTATTTCTTCAATTATTCAAGTGATTTCATTTTAAAAACTCAAACTTTAGTGCTGTAATTATTTCTGTAAGATTAAGACATGACCTTTTTTTCGAAATTTTGGTGGAGGTCACAAATTATATACCTTTCATTAATCATTATTTACACAATGGGTAACTAATATTAATAATTACAGTGACTTGCAATTTTTATTTAATAATTTAATGAATATAGTTAAAATTATAGTAAACAAGAATATTTATTTACCATTACCCGCGTTTTGTTCTCCTTTTAGGGGGCGTTTGATTCAGGAAATTTTTTTGGAATAATAGGAAAATGAGATAGATAGAGAAATGATTGAAAAGATAGATACAGTGAGATAGGTAGAAAAATATAAAAAAAAGTTGTTTGGTGGAGAAAAATTTTACTGTGAAAATTAAGTAACTTTATGAAATCAACAGTGCATTAAAAGCCAGATAACCGGTTTTCCGAAAAATCCCACCTTCAAATTGAGTTTCTAAACAGTGCGGATATCTATGTTTCTCATAAATCCAGACAAATTGGATAGATGGGTTTTTGGTGAAAAAACGTTGAAACAAACATGGTGTTTTTAAAAGCCATACTTGAGAAAGATAAATATCCGCTGAAAAGCTCCCAACCAAACACCACCTTAATGTTTTTCTGTACAAGTTAAGAAAAATAAGAATATGCATACCAAAAAAAGAAAAAAAAAAGAATATTATTTTAATATTAAGATTAGAACAATGTTTTTCTCATGTTAGATGAGATAACATTGTCACATGCAAAGACATAATCAGGTGAGCCCTACAACTAAAAAAAAATGATGATTCAAAATTAATAAATGTCTAACATGAGAAAATCTTTTTCAATATGAGAAATTTATTTTCCTTAAAATTAATTATGAAAAATCAATAAATCTTTTGAAGTAGACTGGCCCAAGTCTTTATAGCGCGTTGCGATAAGAGCGAGAGTGATTGTTTGTTTGCAATTCCCGCTCCTGCTGATTCTTAAGTTAGGGTTGTTCAACTTCAAAGTCCCAAGTTGAAATTGTGTGTGCTGCATAAAGCAACAAACATAACAAAACAAAAGAGAGAGAGAGAGAGAAGGTGATCGGACGGTGGGAGTGGAATGGGAAAGATGAAATCTACAGGTGAGGAAGGTGGTTTGGCCCTCTGGTAGTGATGGTATGGACCGTTAATGCTGACAAGTGACAACATTACTCGAATGGAAATATTGTGGAACTTTTTATTTAAATGCTATTATATTAGCTGTTGCATGATAATGACCAAAGAGTTAAATATCTAAAGCAACTGGACCTCAAAGACCCAACTCACGGCTACGATATATTCTTCCACTTATAAAGAAGCCTTTGAGGTGATTATAAGTTGTGAAAGAATGGACCTAGTCCTCTAGATGAGTTGAGATTACATGAACATCTTTAAAGACAACCAAAAAAATAGAAGATTTGTTTGAAGCAGTCAAGTCTTGCCAACCAGACAATCTATACTTGAAGACAACAAATAAATAAGACACGAAAGTCGATACACGAAAGCTGATATACCGACAGGTTAAATCATTGTATTCTACTACACACTACGGAAGGCAAAACCATATTCCTATACATCTTGGCACTCTGATTTCGCAAGTCACCAAACAGGGCAGGGCGGGCTTCTGTGCTGATAGGCCTTTTTTGGCCCAGCCCACGAGACCCAATATCAAAGCTCGTACCAAAAACTTTTTAGAGGGTATCCATGATGAGTCATAAAGTCTCATCATTGAGATTTTTTCTTTATCACATGTTGCCCATTGTACATTGACAATAGGGTAGCATGTCTTGTCACCTTGACAAGACAAGGCTAGTCAGCAGCAAAAGGCATTTTCTCACCCACTCTTGGAGGGATACTTCCTCTCTAAATAGGGGTATCATCTTTTTCTCCGATCAACTCTCGTATCGTTACTCTGTACATTTGTGGAGTCACTCTAGCCACTCACACACACTCTCCCTTGTCAGTATACTTGCTTTGCACAGTGGAAAGCTTCAAGAGGGTCTTGGTCTCTACCATTGTCATAGTGAACCACCCCTAAATTGACATACTTCATCCTTCGTGGGATATATCTATAAACCTCCAACGGTTCAACATGCTTTTCGGGTAACAGTTTCCTACGAGGAATCCAATTGAACACACAAAAACCATGAATGAAGAAGACGTACATATTTGCAGAGAAGTTGAATCTCGTCTTCGAGAAGATGCAAGTTCAAATTTTAGTTATTTTATTTTTTAAAAAAGCAAATTAGTTTGTCATATTTGAAACCAGCTTTGTGGACCGAAATAACACAGAAGTGTAATTCCATTGTATCAATAAAATATGCAGTGAATAAACGATCAAGTCATGTACCTGCAGCCCTGCAGTTATTCCAGTCTATTTGAGAGAGTCCTATAACTTAACACAGTAAGATCTCATGCTTTTTAACCAATGAAAATGTGTGCTAAATCCAAATCAAATTTATCGTGGTTATTAAAACAAAGTAATCCGAAGAAGTGTGCTAAAAGTAAACACGAACGTCTTTGTGTTTGGAAAAATTATGAAGCATCAAAAAGTTACAAAATAAATTATAAGTTACCTGATCTGATCCATCATTTCAAAGACTAACCAACAAATATGCCTAATCATTAATTATGAACTTAGATCCACAATTTGTTGAATGAATAATTTGCAATTTGACGTGGAAGACCCACCATCTTGAACACACTTATGAGCCATTTCTTTTATCTCTCTGGTTCTGTTCCTTCTCTCTTCCCCTTCACCACCTTGGTTCATGAGCTGTTCAATAGCCTTCTTCACATCCTCCTTCTTCACCAATACATTCTCAGCCTTATCTGTCTCCATGTTGTCCACAACAGCTTCATCACCAATTCTCACACCAATCTTCAGTACTTGCACAATGAGCTTCTCATTAAAGAATTGCTCAGCAAACATTGGCCAAGTTATCATTGGGACACCTGCAGAAACTGCTTCAAGTGTGGAATTCCAACCACAATGAGATAAGAACCCACCAGTTGCAGGATGTGATAGTATCTGAACTTGTGGTGCCCATCCTCTAATTATAACACCTCTTCCTTTATTCCTCTCTACGAAGTTCTCTTCTGCTAACCATTTCTCTAACTCCATAGAACAGTCATTTTTTCCAATCACCCAAATGAATGGATAGTTTGATTCTTCCAATCCCAAAGCAAGTTCCTTTAGTTGTGAAGACTGAAGGCGAGACAGACTTCCAAAACACACATAGATGACAGAACAAGGCTTGTTGGAACTAAGAAAATTGAGACATTCAGACTCATCCATAGAGGCCTTATTATTATTATCTCTCTCAAACTTGTCCAAGATTAACTTGTCATATAAAGAAAGAGGTCCTATACACCAAACCTTTCTTGACACTTTCTCATATCCTCTCACGTACATCTTCTCTAGTTCCTCAAAAGTATTCACCAATATCCCTTGTGCTGAAAGTTCAGCCGCTTCGAATTGTTCAATAGCGTGTTTCCAAGCCTCAGAGTCATGCATCATTCCTTCAGGTAACTGTGACTTGGTGAACTCAATAGTGTCAGGCATGTCCGGTACCACAAACGGCTTTGACATTGAGGTGACATTCTCATGAACCTTGGAACGGTTAATGTTGTGTGAGCACAAGAGGGTGAAGCAAGAGATTCCGTGGAACACAACCCTTGGTATCTTAAACTTGGATGCAACAATTGATGTCCAAGGAAGGCATATATCTGAAACAATGCAGCTTGGTACTGTTTCCAACTCTGATAGCCATTTCTCAAGTGGTTCCTTTAGCATATTGCTAGCAGCGAAAAACATGGGTTGGTATTCAGGGGAAGGAAGTGCATCCATATTTTCACATCCTTCTGGCAACCCTGCTTTAAGGCAAGGAAAGGGTAGCAAATGAAACTGGATTTTGAAGTTTGAGGCCTTTGCTTGATCAATAACTGTGTTGAACCTTGCTGCATTAAGGGGTGTAAGGACAATGGTGACTGTGACACCATTGGCTGCAAGTAACTTGGCCATCTGTGTGAAGGGGATGAGATGGCTTTGTGACATGAAGGGAACAAGAAGAAAGTGTAGTTTGTGATTTTGGGAAGCCATTGGAGTAGAACCTTTCCTTCTGCGATAATGTTGATAAGGGTGAGCGAATTACAAGAGGCATGGAAGGTGCAGTTGTGAATTGTCACACTCAAGATATTGGAAGTTGCATTAAATCTGAAAACAGATAGATACCGCGGATAATATCAAATCTTGATAAACGGAAAAATAATAAAATGCCAAAAAGAAAGGAATAGATGATGGCAATCTTTCTTTTTTTCTCTGAAATCTTGGAGTGTTTCAACTACCCTCATTCGTATCAAGCTGGAAACTGTTCGTTTTATACAAATTCTGAATATTGTTAGTTTTCTATTTAAAAATCAAAAAGTTGTAATATATATTAAGGTATGGGAAACTAAAAAGAAACAGAGAGAGAGAGAGAGAAATTCAATGCGGTAACTGTAACAAAAAAAAAAAAAAAATCATTTCAAATATATATCCACAAAATAATAACCCAAATTTGACCCATAGTTTCTTCTTCTTTTAAATAATTAATTATTAGTTCGCAATAAATGATAACTATTGATTGACGAAAATCAATGATTAAGATATGATTGTAAGAAGTTGTAAACAAAATTAAATTGTAAGTATAATCTTCGTCAATTCCTAATATTGTTAGTTTCATGTTTATTTGAATGTTTTAAATTGTAAGTAATGTAATATTGATGTCGCACCCGTCTCGATTAAATATCATAAAAAATGGTTTATATTTTAGAGTTTAGGTTCGCGAGTAATTATTAGTGGAAAATGTGTTAGCCCCAGGTATCACTTATTGTAAGAATAATTAACTATTAAACTAGTGTTATATTTAAAATTTATTAAATTAGTTCTTTTTTATTGAAAAATTTAGGAAAAAGTATTTATCATTTAAAAAATATAAATTTATATCATTTTAAGTGGAAAAAAAATATGATCACTTGACTTAAAAAGACATAAAATTATATTTTTTAAAATTATGACTTATATTTTTCCCTATTTAAAATTCACAAGTATCATTTTGTTTAAAACAGTCAAATTTCAAAATCCAACTAAAATATAGAATTTTGGAGAGAATAGAGGGATCGGTTAGCTAAACTCTTCTCGTTACTCTTGAGATCGGATCTCGCCAAGTGTATTATTGACTTGGTCTAATCCTTCATACAAAAATTATATATATTTATATATATATATATATATATATAGGAGCAGGGTATTCTTACACTGGTGTAAGAGTTAGAAGTCTTACACTCAATCTTGACCATTGATCCACTTGTATCGAATGACTCGCATTACTAAAAAATTTGAGCCCTTAGATATAAATGGGATCAGTGGACAAGATTAAGAGTGTAACTTATACTGGTGTAAAATGATCGTAACCCATATATATATATATATATATATATATATATATATATATATATATATATATAGGGAGAGGTTATATTTACAACCTATTTTTCTTTACAACCTCTTACAACTAATATCTTAACCGTTGATTTCCGTCAATCAACGGTGTATTGATAGCATTATGGAGTCATGCCCTTATGTTGGCAAAAGCACCGTTTGGGCAAAAAAGTTATTCAATTAAAATTAATTGGATAAATTTTTTCAAACTAACGTAGTCAAAACGTACACTGAATTAATCAACACGGAATCAGTCTTGCACCTGATCAGTAAGTGACATCTTGCCAGGTCAGTCCTACACCTACAAGGTACCTCTTGCTAGGTTAGTCCCATACTTACAAGGTACCTTTTGCCATGTTAATCCGACATGTCAGTCACATACCTACAAGATAGGCCAGGTAATCTCGCACCTATAAGATATGGCACTAGTGTGCACCAATTCCATGGAAATTTCTAAAATACTCCCGTAATAAGTGCATTCCACCAATAGGATGATTACACATATGCATTGAAGAGAATTTTTTTTAATTTTAATATTATAATTATGCACTTCTGAAATTACATAATTATAATATACCCACAAGATACCTCTTGCCATGTTTCTAGTGCATCTACAAGGTAAGACACTAGGGTGCATCAATTCCATGAAAATTTCTAGAATACTCTTGTAGTAGGTGCATTTCACCAATAGGATAATTACACATCGGTTGACATATATATTAGAAAGAAAAAAAGAAATTTTATTTTATTATTATAACTATATACTTTCGAAATACATATTATTCGGAATCGATGGTTGGTGCGACTGTGATGCTATCCAATTCCATACGTTTTTTCTCTCCTAATAAGCCATCATACTCCCTACATCCCTCGTGCACGAGAGCATTTTTTAAACTCGGAAATCACTATTGATTGAGTGATCCCTTTGTAAAAATAGAGAGGAAAAAAAAAAAAAAAAACAGAGACAAAAGGAGAAATATATTCTGGATCGTAGGTGATTTTTCCTGCTCTAGATATAGGTGTGAAGAATGTAGTAGACATATTCTCTCTCTTTTTTTTTTGTATAAAGATAGACATATTCTCTTTAGCACAAAGGTAAAAGCAATCTTTTTGATAATCTATTTGAGCTATTAAATTCTTCAGTTCATAATTATGAAAATTTTCCGAAAGAGTTAACGAATGATCTAACAAACGTAAGATACATGTCATATTGAAAACTTATTATAAGTTTATAACGGTAGCACTGGAAAATATTTTCTTGTACAAGCAGTCAACATATGACAAAAGAAGAGGAGCAGCTACAACTTTTTATTACCCTATAGTTTGATAGTACATGTAATCAAAATTACTTTGACTGCATTTATGGATGGGAGGGGAGTATGGTGAAAGAAAACATATGGAATTGATGCGACACTAATCGCGTACCTTTTAACACTGGACTGCCTTAGTCATATTACTTTTAGGGAAAAATCTTTAATACATCTGATGTATGGTGCATTTGCACAAAAGAAGAAAGTTTTTAGAAATTTATATGAAAATAAAAATAAAGGAAAGAAGTAGAATGGAAAGGAATTTTCCAAAATTGGAAAAAATGAGTACCCAGTAGAATACTATGGATGTATTGAAGTTTCTCTCTCCTTTTAGGGAGACCGACCATTTTGTCACATCTCGGAAAAGAATTTATTAGACTTCACGTCAACAGTAAAAAAATTTAAAATGCACACATCATATTTCGCTACACTGTGTAGTGAAATATGTTTGCATATAATTCGCTACACAGTGTAGCGAAATATGCCTTGTCAGCCTGCACAGTCAGCAAAAATAACACGTGTCAACCATACAGAAATTCGCTACACTGTGTAACGAATTATGCTTGAATTTTGTCTACTTGACACGTGTCGTTTTTGCTAACCGTGAAGGCTAATAATGCATATTTTGTTACGCAGTGTAGCAAAATATGTCTCGTAATATTTTAAAAAAATTATTGTTAACTTAAATAAATTTTTTTGCGAAAGATAACAAAATAATCACTCTTCTTAACTTTTAGATGCACAACTGACATGGTAGGTTGGCAAAAGGTAACGTACTAATTAGGTGTGGAAATGGTTGTATTGATTTAATATGCATTTGAGTATATTAATTTAAGAAAAAAGTATCCAATCATCTTTATGGGCAATTCTATTTTTTTTGCCCCTCTTTGTTTGTAATAAATAAAAATTTCAAAAGGATAAGAAGAAGGGCATAAAGATAAATGTCTCCAATTCCCCTCAAAAGTCGTGCTTGCTTACTTGCATAAAGATAAATAAATGCTTAGCACAAAACATCACTATTCATTGGTCTCACTTTTATGGTTTTGCCCTCTGGTTTAACCTATTGACATTTATTATGTCTTCAATTAGTAGTGACATGTTGTGATAAGAAGATCCACCCTCTTCTATCGCTTTCCTTGCCATATCTGCGTACTTTCTTGCTCTTTCCCTTATCTTCTCATTTTCATTTCCTTCACCCATTACGTTCTCAATAGAGTCTTTAACATTTTCCCTCTTGACCTGAACACAAGACTTCTCTTCCTCTCCTAAGCGCACAACAGTTTCAGATCCCACACTCACCCCAATTTCCAACAATTGTACAACAACCTTCTCATTATAAAACTGCTCCGCAAAGAGAGGAAATGTAACCAAGGGCACTCCAGCACAAACCCCTTCAAGTGTGGAATTCCATCCACAATGTGTCAAGAATGCTCCTATTGCTTTGTGTGATAATATCAAAACTTGTGGGGCCCAACCATGTATCAAAAGTCCTCTCCCTTTAACCCTCTCCTCAAACCCATCTTCCAATAGCCACTTCTCCATTTCCTCTCTTTTATATGCACCTCTTAGCACCCAAATGAATGGCCTTTTTGTCGCTTCCAATCCTAGACCCACCTCTATCAACTGCTCAGGTGTTGCACGGTTTAGGCTACCAAGGCACACGTAAATCACAGAGCTTGAAGGCCATGAATCAAGCCACTTCATATACTTGCTTTCATCGTTTGAGTTTCTCTTTTTACCTCTCTCAGCTTTGTCCAATTCGTCCTTGTTGGACAGTGACACAGGACCAACACACCATACCTTTTTGCCCGTGACCCTTCTATACTCTTTAACATATTCTTCTTCCAACTCTTCGAAACTATTAACCACCAAACCATATGATTTTTCTGCAGCTACTCTCACTGCCTCACGAAAAGAATTCAAATTTTTTTGTGTGCCAGGATTGAATCTACCGGGGAGCTGAGATTTTCGAAATTCAATTCTATGGGGCATTCCTGGGACAAGAAATTCCTCTTCATCATCAGAGATAATAGCATCATAGACCTTAAGTAAATTGTGATTGCATAGGAGATGGAAACAATTAGTCCCATCAAACATTATTCTTGGAATTTGTAACGTGTTGGCAATATCAACTGTACATGTGATATGGTTGTCACATATTATGCAGCTTGGAGTGGGTATTAGCTTTTGGAATAGCTCTTCTAGTGGCTGCTTCAACAAGCACAAAGCGATGTAAAAGTTCTCCAATAGATCCATTGAAGGCAGAGTGTCTACGCTCTCACACCCTTCTGGTATTCCAGCCTCTGTGTTTGGAAATTGAACAAGTTGAATTTGGATGGGTGACCCTGATTGGATCTCTCTTTCTATGCTGGCTTGGAATTGGTTGGAATTGAGGGGTGTGGTGACTATGGTAACTTTCAAATTGCGTCGTGCAAACAACTTGGCCATGTCTACCATAGGAAGAAGATGACCTGGGGACATTAAGGGGATGAATACAAAGTGGGGTTGGCATAGAGGTGTTGAATCCATCGTAAGTTTCTGTGTTATAGTGAATAGATTATGAAATTACTGCTCTTTTTCTGGGGACACAGAAAAATGGACTAGAGAAGACAATTCAATGAGTATTGCAATTTTCAAATTTAGGCTTCTGCCTCCTCTTTTATGCAGATTAAAAGGTTGTATAGTCTTATCAACTATTTATGTTCGTTCTGACTTCGTACTATGTCCTGCCCAAGTGACGTAAGAGCTAACGTTTTTATAAATCAAGATAAGGAAAAACGGCCATTTTATGTATGCGGTGCACGCCTCTTTAACTGGGTCGCATCATCTCGGATCCGTTTGGATGAACCTCGAAAAAAAAAAGACTTTTTATGTTTATTTAATAATTTTTAGAAGAGTTTTTTTATAAAAGTTAAAAGTATTTAAATTTTATTTAAAAAAAAGTATTTAAATTTTTTAAAAGATATTTTATTTTTGAAAAAAAAATATTACCTTTTGATTTATGTTTTCTGTAAATCTAAAATTTCTAACTTTAAAAAAAATTAAATTTTTAACTTTTTTTTATAATTTTTATTTTTTTAAACCAGACATCCAAAAAATTTAAAAATGAGAAGAATTTTTTTTTATGAAAAAAAAAAATTTAGAGAAAAAAAAACACATCCAAACATGCCTTAACTAAGGTTTAGAGTGAGAGGTAAGATAAGTGGGATTTTTTTTTTAACACAATTCATATGGCAACTCCTGCTCCTCCCCACTTGATCTAGTTGTTTGGTGTTGAATCAATAACATTTTAACCTATTTTAAATATGGAAAAATTATTTCTGCAGTTACTGCAGATAAGTTATTTGTATTTATTCTCAAATGACGTCGCTGTGGTATTGGAATCTTAAAAAATTATAAATATAAAGACTATTATAACCTGAAATAAATTAAAATTATAAAAACACTATGATTTCTTCCCCAAAATGACGTCATATTGGACTTCCTGCAGTAACTGCAGAAAAAACGAACCCTTTAAATATAATTAGAATGATAGTTCAATTGATGTCAGAGAATTTAGAAAGTGTAGGTGAGAGTATATGCCTATTTTGGGAGAGGTTTAAAATCTTAATACCAGGACCCGTCCTGAATTGGATTAATCGCAGAGCGATGAACCAATTAAAATATTTTCAAATATATATATATATATATATATATATCTATATATATATATAGGGTCAGGATCATTTTACACCAGAGTAAGTCACACTCTCAATCTTGTCCATTGATCCCACTTATATCTAAGGGTTCTAATTTTTTAGTAATGTGAGTCATTGGATACAAGTGGATCAATGGTCAAGATTGAATGTAAGACTTCTAACCCTAAACTATATTATTGTTTAGTTATACTTTTGTATTTCAAAAATAAATAAATTTACAAAGCCAATATATACAAAATTGCTATTTGCACAATAATTATGAAACTAATTTTAGGATTTTAAAAAAACCGAAAACCGATCCAATCCAAACCGAAAAAAATTGGATTGAATCGGAACAGATTTGAAAAAAAATCCAAACTGAATGGATGATTACATGATCAAACCAAAGGGATTGGATCAAACGATTTTTGCTTCCAAAACCGATCCAATCCAGATCGCAAACACCCCTACATGCAACAAACAAATACTTGCCATATATATACTTGAAAGCATCAAATGCAAGAAATCATAATCATACAAAGAATGAAAGCATTAAATGTTGGGAATCATAACCATACATCTGTCATTATTGTATGTAAAGCGGCTAGGGTTGGCAAAACGGGCCAACCCGGCTAGACCCGGCCCAACCCGCATTCAACCCGAAAAAACGGGTCGGGTTAGGGTTGGCCCGAAAAGAGAAACGAGCCAGAAAACCCAACCCAGCTCGACCCGAGCCGGGTTAGGGTTGGCTCGATAATCAGCTCGCGGGTTGGCTCGGGAAAAAGTTCGCGGGTTGGCTAAAAAAAAGCTCGCGGGTTAGCTCGAAATAATGCCAACGGGTTGGCTCGCGGGTTAGTTAGCTCGACATATTGCCAATGGGTTAGCTCAAGGGTTGGCTCGAAAAATTTGGTTGCTGTGGAGCTAGTTTTATTTGTTCTTCAACACTTCACAATAATATCAACACTGTCAATAAATGAATGATATGATTGCTTAATATTTAATTAAAATATGAGTTTCGAGAAAATGTCATGGCTATGTAGTAGGAAATTTCAAGACAGTATTATATAGTAATTAATCACATTAAAATAATTAACCATTTCTACATAAAATCAAAAGATAAATATATAGACAATTCCTCAAGTACTTTTAAAAAGATAAATAATGGGACAGTCACCATCCACCGCCGTGCCTCCTTGGTCGAAAATTAATCGCCACCATATCTCTCTGTTACATTTAACCAACGATGCTGATCGATACTACACCGTCGACCTCCCTGACGATTGCTTGGCCGGGATCTTTCATTTCCTAAGCTCTGTCGATCGGAAACGCTGCTCCCTCGTCTGCCGGCGGTGGTTCCGGATCGACTGCCAAAGCCGCCATCGGCTTTCCTTGAACGCTCAAGCGGATTTGGTGGACTTCGTTCCTTCGCTTTCAACATAGCTAGTCTTATTCAACACTATGCGCCACTTTTGTAACTTCTTGAAACCTTTTTGAGTAACCCCATTGGCAACACCAGAAGCAACCTTGGAAGAGAAGTGAATGAGCGACTGAGATGAAATGAATTTTTTTGACAAAAATGCAGTTGAGATGAAATGAGCAACAGAGATGCGTATGGAAATTTTTTAGTTTTGATATTATTTTTTTTAAATAAAAAAATACCCAACCCACGAGCTGGCCCGTTTGACCTGCGGGCTGGCTCGATTGGGTCCGGGTTGTATCGAGTCGGGTTGAATTGGGTTGGCAGCTCATTTAGGCCAACCCAACCCGACTCATTTATGACGGGTTGCGAGCCAACCCGACGGGTTGGCTCGTTTTTGCCAATCCTAGAAGCGGCTACATAAATGATTTTACCATATATATATATATAGGCTTTAACGTTTCTAAAGCGAATGTGTATATATATATATATATCTACATTCGCTCCCAAAACGACGTCGTTTTGGGTTAAAAAATTATAATGAAAAAGGCAATTATAACCCTGAAATAAATTATAATTACATAAATATGTTGATTTCGTTTCAAAACAACGTCGTTTTAGGCTCAATGTAGATAAGTTATCTACATTGACTGTAGAAAAAGCGAAGTCATATATATATGGGGTAAATATTTTTACAACCACTTTAGATAAAGTTATCTACAGCTACCCAAATACTACGTCGTTTTGATTAATGGAGGGTATTTATGTAATTTTAGGTGAATTAATAATAAGTGTTTCCATAATTTTGTTTATTTTTTTATCATATACATTTTACTGAAACACCCTTCATTAGTTCACATAAAATTACAATACATCTTTCATTAATTAAAACGACGTAATTTTTGAATAGTTGTAGATAATTTTATCTAAAGTGACTGTAAAAATATTTATATATATATATATATATATATATATATATATATATATATATATATGATGTGGACTAATGTTATAATTTGAATTCCTGGAAGCAGATATCAATTTGTAATTGACTACTGAATAGAAAAAGGACATGTAACTCCATTTGTATCCATTATTTTGTTTCTAAATAATTGTAGCATGCCTGTTTAACCTATGAGAAGCGTTCACATGTGATACAACTGAATGCCAAAACCAAGCCAAAACTCCCTGACTGTCCAAACATTACACGATGCTTTAATCCCTAATATCAAAATGACATATCATGTATGCTAATCAAATTACATCCTGCTAGTGACATTTGAGTTCTAATAGAGATTCAACAATCTACGGATATACAGAGACTTACGACTAGGGTATGGCAAATTATATAAAAGTATTCCCTGCAGGTGTAATTGGATCTGTGAAAGCGTTTCAGACTCTCAGTTATGGTTTTGCTATGTGGTTTATCCTATTGACATTTATTATGTCTTCAATTAGTAGTGACATGTTGTGATAAGAAGATCCACCCTCTTCTATTGCTTTCCTTGCCATATCCGCGTATTTTCTTGCTCTTTCCCTTATCTTCTCATTTTCATTTTCGTCACCCATTACCTTCTCAATAGAATCTTTAACATTTTCCCTCCAGACCTGAACACAAGACTTCTCTTCCTCTCCAAAGTGCACAACAGTTTCAGATCCCACACTCACCCCAATTTCCAACAATTGTACAACAACCTTCTCATTATAAAACTGCTCACCGAAGAGAGGAAATGCAATCAAGGGCACTCCAGCACAAATCCCTTCAAGTGTGGAATTCCATCCGCAATGTGTCAAGAATGCTCCTATTGCTTTGTGTGATAATATCAACACTTGTGGGGCCCAACCATGGATCAAAAGTCCTCTCCCTTTAACCCTCTCCTCAAACCCATCTTCCAATAGCCACTTCTCCATTTCCTCTCTTTTATATGCACCTCTCAGCACCCAAATGAATGGCCTTTTTGTTGCTTCCAATCCTAGACCCACCTCTATCAACTGCTCAGGTGTTGCACGGTTTAGGCTACCAAGGCACACGTAAATCACAGAGGTTGAAGGACATGAATCAAGCCACTTCATATACTTGCTTTCATCATTGGAGTTTCTCTTTTTACCTCTCTCAGCTTTGTCCAATTCGTCCTTATTGGACAGTGACACAGGACCAACACACCATACCTTTTTGCCCGTGACCCTTTTATACTCTTTAACGTATTCTTCTTCCAACTCTTCGAAACTATTAACCACCAACCCATATGATTTTTCTGCAGCTACTCTCACTGCCTCACGAAAAGAATTCAACTTTATGTGAGTGCCAGGATTGAATATCCCGGGGAGCTGAGATTTTCGCAATTCGATTCTATGGGGCATTCCTGGGACAAGAAATTTCTCTTCATCAGAGATAATAGCATCATCGACTTCGTGTAAATTGTGATTACAGAGGAGATTGAAAAAATTAGTCCCATCAAATACTATTCTTGGAATTTGTAACTTGTTGGCAATATCAACTGCACATGTGATGCTTTTGTCAGATATTATGCAGCTTGGAGTGGGTGTTATCTTTTGGAAAAGCTCTTCTAGTGGCTGCTGCAACATGCATAAGGCGATGTTAAAGTTCTCCACTAGATCTATTGAAGGCAGAGTGTCGAAACTCTCACACCCTTCTGGTATTCCAGCCTCTTTGTTTGGAAATTGAATAAGTTGAATTTGGATGGGTGAACCAGATTGAATCTCTCTTTCTATGCTGCCTCGGAATTGGATGGAATTGAGGGGTGTGGTGACTATGGTCACTTTCAAATTGCGTCGTGCGAATAACTTTGCCATGTCTACCATGGGAAGGAGATGACCTGGGGTCATTAAGGGGATGAATACAAAGTGGGGTTGGCATAGAGGTGTTGAATCCATTGTAAGTTTCTGAGTTATTGGGAATAGACAAGGAAATTACTCTCGTTTTTGGGAAACAGAAAAAGGGACTGGAGAAAGACAAATGAGTATTGCAATTTTCAAATTTAGGCTTCTGTTGTTGTCTCTTTTATGCAGATTAAGAGAGCATATTTAGTACTCGTAGAACACAGAATATTCAGGGGGGACGGAGGAGTGAAAGATAGAGAAAAAGGTAAGAAGAGAGGAGAGAGATTATTTTTTTTTTCAATCACGTGTTAATTTTTCAATTGAAGGATGACAGTGTTGATCCGGTGCATTTTTTCGAAGATTAAAGGGTTGTATAGTCTTATAGAGTGTTTATGTTCATTTCCGACTTCCTTTATTTCCAATCCGAGTGACGTAAGAGCTAACGTTTTTACAAAACTTGATAAGAAAAAAGGGTCATTTTATGTTAGCGGTGCACGTCTCTTTAGTTGAACCACATGATCCTTGCGAAAAAATTTCAATACTACGAGGTGTTTGGTATGAATATTTGGTATAGAATGATGGAAAAATAGGTTGAAAAATAATTAATTATCATGTTTAGTATCGGTATTATGAAAAAAATTCCACCAAATATTTTTTCTGATACTTTCCTTTTCAACTACATAGAGACAAATAATTATCCTACTATTCTTTGATATTTTTTTTGCCTGTCTTGGATTGTGAATAAAATATGGTGAGTCAAAAACATCATTCTGATTTATGACCGCATGTGTTCAATAGATTTACCACATAAGCACGCCATCGTTACTTTCGCGTTCTTGGTCTTCGTCTGCGACAAGGTCGGTTGTGTGACTGGTAGGTGGGTGGTAGGTCTCTCAAACTGTGGGTTCTCACTACATCTTGGTTTGCTCCACAGAGTCTCAAAAAAATGGGTGGTAGGTCTGTCAAACTGTGAGTTCTCACTATATCTTGGTTTGCTCCACAGAGTCTCAAAAAAATGAACGTTTCAATATGAATCACTTTTCATATTCAAAAAATTAAAGCTATTATGATATTTTTATTCACATTTTCATCAATATTTTATCATTAACCAAATATATCATTTGTAAAATGAACCCAACTTTTTCGGCAAAATTTTAGCCAATCACACGTTTTTTCATAACTTAACTGGGCTAGAAAAATTCCTACAAAATCCCCGATTATTTTTTTTTTGATAAAAAAAATATATCTACCAAACATCCCGATTGGACCAATAGGAATTTGACACGTCAATTTTTGTTGTATTAGAAAAAAGAAGGAGTTATTTTTAGACTATATTTTACCTATAACACATAGTATAAAATACACTTTTGCACCTAATTTTCAATACCACTTCGTTCCCCAAAAGCATTCCACTAACTGAGGCTGGGACTGAGAGTTAAGATAAGGAGGGAACATCTGGTTCAAATATAATTAGGAATTAGGATGATGACTAATGCTACAATTTGAATTCCTAGAAGCACATATTAATTTATAATTGACTAGGGAATAGAAACAGGACATGTCTGTTCGACCTATGAGAAGCGTTCACATGTGATACAACTGAATGGCAAAACCAAGCCAGAACTCTTTGGCAGTCCAAACCATTACACGATGCTTTAAAATCAAAATGACATTTCCTGTGTGCTAATCAAATTACATCCTGCTGAAGACATTTGAGTTTTATTAGAGATTCAACAGTCTGCGGAAATACTGAGACTCAAGACTAGGGTATGGCAAATTATATATACTGTACTAGCGAAACAAAACTATTCTATTCACTACAAATATAGTACTGACTTAACGCAATTTTTAAACAAATTTGAAATAGTTAAGGAGAAACTATGGCCTTTCTTATATAGGATAATGAGAAGATATGCTTGCAAACAATAGTAGAACATTAAAAAGATAGATAATTTGAGAAAAACTACATGGTGAGGCCTTTTACTTTAAATTGGTTTTTTTGCTCGATATCTTGTATTATTAAGGTCATGTTAGTATGAGAAGATCCCCCTTTTTCTACAGCTTTGTCAGCCATCTCTGCAAGCTCAGTAATCCTTTTTCTTCTTTCTTCACTTTCGCTCGTCTCATCCATTAACTTTTCTATTGCCCTTTCAACATCTTCCTTCTTCACCACCACACCAGCTTCCTCTTCCTTGCCCCACTTAAGAGACTTCTCCACACCAATCTTCACTCCAACTTTTAATATCTGCACAATTAAATTTTCATTCAAAAATTGGTCCCCAAATAGTGGCCATGTAACCATTGGCACACCAGCACATATTGCTTCCAAGGTAGAGTTCCATCCACAGTGTGTTATGAACCCTCCAATTGCAGGGTGTGATAATATTAGTAACTGAGGAGCCCAACCCCGAATTACAAGGCTTCGAGCTATGGTTCTTTCCTCAAATCCATCTTCCTTGATCCACTTTTCCAATGCTTCTAACTGACTTCCTTCCCTGATAACCCAAATGAAGGGTCTTTTTGATCCTTCTAAGGCTAAACCAAGCTCTATCAACTGTGATGGTGTTAAATTGCACAGGCTTCCAAGGCATGCATAGATTACAGTCCTTGGCTTCTGACAATCAAGCCACTTTAGGTGTTGGCACTCATCAATTGAGGCCTTGTTACCTCTTTGAGCCTTATCCAAGTGATCCTTATTACTAAGTGATACTGGCCCAATACACCACACTCTATCATTCCTGACCTTGTTGTAATCCCTTGCATATGCTGGCTCCAACTCTTCAAAAGAATTCATGATTACCCCATAAGTATCCTTTTCAGCTTCAATCATTTCTTGATGAAGCTGTTTCCAGCTTTCATCTGTTGATGTTCCTGTCTGATCTAAGGTCATTTCAATTTTGTCAGGTATACCAGGCAGAACAAAATACTCCGAATCAGTATTTATGCTCTCCATGACATTATATTTTCTTACATTATACATACACAAGAGACAGAAACAACTTACTCCACCAAAAGAAATCCTGGGAATATTGAATTTCCTAGCGATGTGGATTGTATATGGCAAACACATATCAGAGATTATGCAGCTTGGTGGTGGTGTTAACTCTTCAAATAGTTTTTCCACTGGTTGCTGAAGAAAATTTGTTGCATTGAAGAAACTCGTGCTCATGCCAAGTGAAGGTAGCATATCCATATTCTCACATCCTTCTGGTAACTCAGCGTCTTTACTTGGAAACTGAAGTTGAAATAATCTAATATGAAACCCAGACTCAACATAACGAGCAAAGATTGATGTGAAACGAGCTGCATTTTGTGGTGTTGTGACTACTGTCACGATAACATTGCGCTGTGCCAATACTTTTGCAATGTCCATCATTGGTATCATGTGGCCTTGGGCCATGAATGGAAACAACACGAAGTGGAGCTGCTGTGCCAGTGCTTGGGAAGCCATTCCTTTTGTGGGTTGATAAGGTATAACGAATTCACTTCAACTCTCTTTATGTGTAAGACATTTATTTATATGCACCCTACTTGGCTTTATTGGTGATGTAAGCGCCTACATAAGCACTTTTGATTTATTCGAGTCTGAGTCCATGTTTTGTCCCCTTCTGTCTGTTCGATTCTTCATAATACTTCGATTAAATCATCTTTATCTTATCTTCTTCGCAAGCATGACCAAGTTGCCAAGGGAATAATGACATTGACAATAAATACATCAATTAGAAAACAGTATATTCTTGCGTATCAATTTGTCCCTTTCTCTATCACAAATCGGCCGTGGGAGCCACAATTAGAATGAGAATAATGTCTAGTTGTACCATGTAAATCACTACACATTTGTTTGGAGAAAAATTAGCAAACTCATTGGAGCAAAAATTAATGCATGCTCCAAACAGATTTTTACTTTTGATTTTAAGTTCCTATGTTTAGAATTTAAGTGTGGAATGTCTACAATCAATGATGGAGATTTTTTGGAACCTTAGTCTATTCCAAAAAGTTATAAGGCAATATATATAGTGAAGGATTCAATTTAAATTAAATGTTGTAACCTTAGCCTAAATCAAATATAAATGTCAGGAAAGACGTGGACCCGGTGTGGAAGCTCTCTGATTATGTGTGGTTACTATTGGCTTTGGTAGTAGGGTGTATGGGATATTTATTTCTTCTTGGTCTGGGTTGTCCTGGCTTCTTCTTCTTCTTTTCTTTTTTTTTCTTTTTTTGGCGGTCTTGTCAATGGCTCCGCCACCACTGCACATAAAAGCAATCTCTATTGGTTAACAATTTCATGATATGATAATAGGAACAAGGAATAACTTGTGCAGCTAAAATATATTAAAGAAATGAAGTGAAAATATATAGTGCCTTAAGTTTTCTCTTTTTTATGCAACAAGATATTCTTACACTGGTGTAACAGTTAAAAGTTTTACATTCAATCTTAACTATTGACCTACTTGTATCCAATGGCTCACGTTACAAAAAAAATTTGAGCCCTTAGATACAAGTAGAATCAGTGTACAAGATTAAGAGTGTAACTTACACTGGTGTAAAATCATCATTTCCAATTTCAGTTAGATGTTCTCTATTATCTTCTTCTTATGAAACAAAAGTCCATTGAAAGAAAGAACAATGAAGAAGGAAGAGACTTGATTATCATATCAGAAAAATACACTGAAAGATAGTCACATCAGAGGGTCTTTGTGTACATATACATTGGAGATGCTGATTATAATAGCCCAACTTAATTAATTAGTAAATTTAGTGTAATTAATTAATTAAACATGTTTTGGTGAGTGAAATTAAGTATAAGGCTTAATTAAATGAATCTGAGTCACTTTGGAGTTAAAAAGTGTACTCAGTGAAAATTAAGGGGTATAAATGGGTACTGGTGAAAGTACCCAAATTATAAAAATAAAAATAGTAACATCCTAGAATAATATTCCAGACTTTTGGGTAAAGTTTGGTAATTATTGGAGTTGAATAGATAGACGAACCAATACCCGCTTAAAGCCACTTAACATATGTTAAGTGACTTAAGCTACTAAAAGAACCCATTTCCCCCCATCCCCCGTCGAGCCAGAAACAGAGAGAAGAAGAAGAAGAAGGAGAAAGGAGGGAGAAGGAAGGGAGGAAGAGAGAGAGAGATCAAACCTTAACCGATTTGAGTGATTCAAAAGCCTAAATCGCTTAGAATCTCGCCCTCTTTCATAATCCTTGCTTTGTTTTGAGTGGGGAGCATTGTGGAGAGGGATATTGCCTCTCAAAAATTCGGCCATTGGAGAGATTTTGGGGTTTTGGGAAGTTCAACCTCCATGGGAGCTTGAGGAACACTCCTTGCTTGGTTGTGTGACCCTTGGTGGTAAGATTATAACCCTTGAACCTCATGATTCCTTGAAATTTGTATGAGTTAGGGTTTATGAATAGTGTTTTAGGGATTTTGATGAAATGTTGTTAAATTAGCTATGTTCTAGGAAGAATGGAGCTTAGAGCATGTTATGGAAAATGCTAGGAATATCATTTAATCGGTGAAAATGAGCTTAGATAGCTAAATGAGTATACTTGTAAAATGGCAAGAATATGATGCTTGATATTGGATTTCTTGCATTGTTGATGAATGATATGACTTGGTTGATTGATGATTGTGTCCTAATGATGTCTAGGATTGAGACATTTGGACCGACCGTGAGTGATCAACCGCTTGAGCAAGCTATGGAGCTTGAGTAGCTCATTGGAATTGGTAAGCTCATACTTGTGTAGTATTTTGAATTGAGTAGTTGATGGTTGATTGTGAAATACTCTTGGATGCAATGTGTTGATTGCATTACACCATGTGTAGGTGTTGGTTTTGGAGTAGAGTATTGTTGACATTGGTGGTGAACAAAGGTCGAATTGAAGCTTGAGGTAAGCCTTCGGACCTTGGGTGTAATTCCCTTGATTGTTCCACCAAGCCCTGAAAGGGTAGTGGTAATTATAGTGTATATAAATGCAATGAAATAGTGTAATGCTTTGTTATACGTATGTGTATGCATTTGGTGTGGCATATGATGGTGTTCCCTATATGGTATGTTGCATGACGATGCGTAAATCATACTTGGTAGTTTAGCTGGCCAGTAGGACTATTTGCATCTGAGTTTCCTTAGGACAGCTTGAGAGCTCGAGGGATTTCTCCTGGAGATGTATTGCACTTTGCATAGATATGTATTTACTGCATTATTATTGTTATTGCTATTACACTGATATGGAACTGTGGGGTGGAGAGATGCTCCAAGGACCCCTGGTTTACTGGATATATTCGTATATCTCACCCCGTGTTGTGGGGACCCCCTTTCAGGTAAGGATGCTGCAGGAGCCTCTGGTGGCAAGTGGCCATATCTGGATTATGCATGAAATGTGGCATTTCTTTTGAGATTGTACATGTTGTTTTGTAGCTCACATGTATAGAATTAAATGAATAGGCAATGCTAGATTTATGATTTGTATATTGGAATGGACTTAGCCTATGCTCATGCCTTTGGTCATCTCTTTTGTTGATGGGAGCCAAGGGAATGATCATAGTGTTTTGTAAGCTAAGTTCCATGATTTGTAATGGATATGTAATGTAAATGATGCCTACTTGAAATTCGATATATGCATGCTTTTATGTATTGAGTTATTGAATTGGTTGGGCTGAGAAATCATATTAGGTACCTAGTTCTAAATTGGGAATTGTTGAGAAAACAAGGGTTATGCTGCCCAAATTTTAGTACAAGCCATAAGGAAAAGGGCATGCATGTCCCTTTAGATGTGTTTGTATCATGCAAGAACTAAGAACCATTTATGAAGATGAAATTATATGATAGGTTGGGACGGTGGTGTATGTATGGAAGTTGTAGATATTTTTCTTAGCTTTCCATAGAGACCAATATTGTGTGAATTGGACATGTATAACTCTAGTTAGAGGTAAAATACTAAGAATTGGTGAAACCTTCAGAGCTTTGGCGCACATCACGCCATTTTGCTCGAAAGCTTCTGTTTCGTGGCGCAAATCGCGCCGGGATCTCCAGCTGGCGCACCTGGCGCCAACCTTGGCGCCTCCAGCGCCATTTCGATGGGGAGCTTCTGTTTCGTTGGCGCCCGCCGCGCCACAGCTGGCGCCGGTCGCGCCGGGATCAGCAGGATTCACGCGCTCGTTTCGTAGAAAACCCATAACTTGGGCTACAGTGCTCCGATTTGAGCGCGGTTTGAACCCACGCGTAGCTAACGAAGAGATCTACAATATAGTAGAAGTTGTGAAATAAACAAGAAGTAAATTAATGGTTGAAAAAATGGAATAAGAACATGATGTTAAGTTTGGTTTGTCTGATTCCGCAAGGTAATATGGTTATGATCACGCAATTGGATATTTTAAATTCGGTGTCGTTTTAAAAAGAAAAATTTATCCGGATTTTTAATTGAGCCAATATGATTGTAACTGCGCTTAATATCATAATGCGATGTTAACAAACCGGTTCTAGAACGGGATGTTACATTTTATGGTATCAGAGCAGTTTCGTAGGGAATAACTGTTATCTATTGATGAGTATGCTTAGTGTTTGATGCTTTATAGTTGTTTTAGTACTCTTTATGATTATTGCATTTGTGATCACTAAGTGTGGGCCTGATCAACTCACTTCTTTGTGTAACATGTGTAGTGACATGACGAGGAACCGAAACAACCCCGGACCATCAAACACCAATGCTCAGCCAGAACCTGTTTTGGCTGCTCTTGTGAGGCCTAGAAGTGGCCGTGGGGCAACGGGCGTACAACCTGATCCCGTGGCTGAAGCTCTTGCAGCTGTTCAGAAGGAGTTGGCTGCTAGCAGGCAAGCCAATGAGAATCTAATGAAAACAAATGAAGACTCGCGGACTGCTATGGCCGCGATGATGACCGAGTTGAGGACGTTGAGGGGTCCTAGGCCCGTGAACCGGCAACCCACTCCTCCTCCTCACACTGCTACGCCTTCTCCACCTCCTTCACAAGAAGAGGGTGTAGCTGGTAACAATGAAGGTGAGGGCAGTCAACATTCTGGAAGTCGTAGTCATCACAACGAGGTTCGCCAACCTCATGTTGAGAATGTCGGTGACCAAGAAGTGGAGGAAAGAAGACTGATGGCTTTCCGAAAACACAAACCTCCTTCTTTTAAGGGAGGTTATGAGCCAATGGCGGCTGCAAAATGGCTCCAAGCTATGGAGAAGATATTCAGGGTGATGAGATGCCCTGATGCAATGAAGTTGGCCTACTCTGTTTATATGCTGGAAGATGAAGCGGAAGATTGGTGGACCAATACCATGCAGCCATTAGAAGCTGAAGATCGAGAGATCACATGGCGGTTGTTCGAGACGTCGTTCTTGGATAACTATTTCCCTAGGAAGGCTAGGGAACAAAAGCAGAATGGCGGTTGTTCGAGACGTCGTTCTTGGATAACGATCTCAAGCAAGGGTCGATGTCTATTGACCAATACTTCAGTAAGTTCAATGAGTTGGTGAAATACGCCAACTATGGGCGAGCCTTACCCACTCTGGCTGAAATGACCTCCAAGTTCCAATGGGGTCTTAATGAGAAGATGTCTCGGAAGATGTCAAATTGTGACATCCGAGAGTTCAGTCGGTTTGTAAATCAGTGCAGGAAGGTAGAAGAAGTGTACAAGGTGTACCAAACCAAGAAGTCCTCTGAGGCCCAGGCACCTAACGCCAATAAAGCAACGGGCTCAGGTTATTGTAAGAACAGGAAGATGCAAGGCAAGAAGCTGAATGCGAATAGGCCCTTTGACTTGTTCAAAAAACCCGGTACTCAGAAGAATTTTGTTGATAGAGGACCTCCTCCCAAGTGCAAGGGATGTGGCAAGGAGCATAGAGGTCCATGTGCTTCCGGTGAGGTGATTTGTTTTAAATGTGGAAGATCCGGTCACTACTCCAGGCAGTGTCCTCAGAACGAAGCAAGGACTATGGCAGTTCAAGCTACTGCTGTTCCGGTCTCTGTTGTTCAACCTATGCTAGAGTCTCAGACGGTTGGTAGAGTATATACCATGGACCGTCAACAATCGGAGAAGGCTCCGAATCTAGTGAAAGGTACAATTTATATTGATGGTATGGATGTTGAAGTGTTGTTTGATTCAAGAGCTACACACTCCTGTATGTCTGATTTCATGGCCGTTGGGCTAAATCTGCAAATGTACGACATTCGCCCTCCAATGAAAGTGGTTACTGTTACTGGAGAGGAGTGTTATACATCCGTGTTGTGTAAAGATGTTGAGTTCAAATATGAAGGCCGAGATTACGTGCTGGATTTTATTTGTTTACCTATGATCAGCCTTCAAGTTATCTTGGGTATGGACTGGTTGTCAAAGAACTGTGCTATGATAGACTGCTGTGGTAAAAGGATTGTGCTTGATGCTGATGATTCTGCTACTAGTTCTTCCCCATATCTATCTGTGTTGCAGGTTAGAAAGGCTTTGAGGGCCGGGGCATTGGGATATGTCTTTGTGGGGGGTTTAGTAGGCGGAAGTCATGAGGAGATTGGCACTATTCCCGTGGTGAGGGAGTTTGTGGATGTGTTTCCAGATGAAATTCCACAACTTCCGCCTCATAGAGAGATTGAGTTCACGATTGATCTATTTTCTGGTGTGGGGCCTATCTCTCTGGCTCCGTATAGGATGTCACCACCGGAATTAGCCGAGTTAAAGAAGCATATTGAAGAGCTTTCGGCTAAGCAGTTTATCCGGCCAAGTGTGTCCCCGTGGGGAGCACCAGTCATATTTGTTAAGAAGAAGGACGGTAGCATGAGATTGTGCACTGATTACCGTCAATTGAATAAAGTTACTATCAAGAACAAGTATCCTCTCCCTCGCATAGACGATTTGCTTGATCAGTTGAGGGGTGCTTGTGTTTTCTCAAAGATTGATTTGAGGTCAGGTTATCATCAAATCCGAATTAGAAAGGAAGATATTCCGAAGACTGCCTTCCGATCTAGATATGGACATTATGAGTATCAAGTAATTCCATTTGGACTCACTAATGCTCCTGCGGTGTTTATGGATTACATGAATCGCATATTTAAGCCGTTTCTGGATCAATTCGTGATTGTGTTTATTGATGATATCCTGATATATTCCAAGAGTAAGGAAGAGCATGAAGGTCACTTGAGAACTGTGTTGCAAATTCTCAGAGAGAAACAGTTATATGCAAAGCCTTCTAAATGTGAATTTTGGCTTTCTCAAGTGCAATTTTTGGGTCACGTTATCTCTGCTGATGGAGTGGCGGTTGATCCTAGCAAGATAGAAGCAGTTGTTGATTGGGAGAGACCCAAGACTGTAACAGAAATAAGAAGTTTTCTGGGTTTGGCTGGTTATTACCGGAGATTCATTAAAGAATTTTCAGCCATGGTGTTGCCATTGACCCGTTTGACCCGGAAGGATACTCCATTTGTTTGGACGCAAGAATGTGAAGAATGCTTTCAGAGCCTTAAGGAGAAACTAACGACCGCTCCGGTGTTAGTACTTCCCGACCCGGAAGGTGAATTTGAGCTATACAGCGATGCTTCCAAGAAGGGATTGGGATGTGTGCTGATGCAAGATAGGCGGGTGGTAGCTTATGCATCGAGGCAATTGAAACCGCATGAAGAAAATTATCCAACCCATGACCTTGAGCTTGCTGCAATTGTTTTTGGGTTGAAACAGTGGAGGCATTTCTTGTATGGAATGCAATTTACAATATTCAGCGATCACAAGAGTTTGAAATACTTGTTTGATCAGAAGGAGCTGAATATGAGACAACGACGGTGGACCGAGTTCCTCAAAGACTATGATTTTGAATTGAAATATCATCCTGGCAAGGCTAATGTTGTAGCTGATGCACTGAGCCGAAAATCCGTGAGTATATCAAGCATGATGATCAGAGATTATGATGTGATTGAGAGGTTCAGAGATATTCAATTATCTAAAATCTTTCCATGTAAAATTTGTGGCTTTGAAATCACAAGCATTGAGAATGAACTGATGACCAGAATCAAAGAAGCTCAACTGCAAAATGAAAGTGCTAAACGACTGAAAGGTCAGAGTGGTGTATCCTGCAATGATGAGGGTGTACTACTATATCAAGGTCGTGTTGTTGTACCTAGGCAGTTGGCGGAGGAAGTAATGACAGAGGCTCATAAGGGTCATTTTACAGTTCATCCGGGAGCTACAAAGATGTATCAGGACCTAAAGATTAATTTCTGGTGGCCTGGTATGAAGAAAGATATTGCCGAATTTGTCTCTAAGTGTCTCATTTGTCAGAAGGTAAAGATTGAGCATCAAAAGCCTTCTGGTATGTTGCAACCTCTGGATGTTCCTGAATGGAAATGGGAGAGTATCTCCATGGATTTCGTAGTGGGATTGCCGCGAACACAGGCTAGTTATGATTCTATATGGGTGATTGTGGATAGATTGACAAAATCCGCACACTTTTTGCCAGTTTGGGTAGACTTCTCTGCGGAGAGATTGGCTAGGCTTTATGTGAAGGAGATTGTGAGGCTTCATGGGGTGCCTGAGAGCATTGTTAGTGACCGGGACCCGAAGTTCACTTCTCGCTTCTGGGGAGCATTGCAGGAGGCTCTTGGCACTCAGTTGAGACTGAGCACTGCTTATCACCCACAGACGGATGGTCAGACTGAGAGGACCATTCAGACGTTGGAGGATATGCTGAGGGCTTGCACCCTGGAGCAGGGTACTGCATGGGATCGATATCTCCCGCTGGTTGAGTTTTCATATAATAATAGTTTTCATGCTAGTCTGGGTATGGCTCCCTACGAGGCCTTGTATGGTCGCAGGTGTAGGACACCTACTTGTTGGTCAGAGGTTGGAGACACAGAGCGGTTTGGATTGGATTTTGTTCAGGAGACTACTGAGCAGATCAAAATGATTAGGGATCGTGTGAAAAAGGCTCAGGATCGTCAGAAAAGTTACTATGATCTCAAGCATCTACCTCTAGAGTTTGAGGAGGGAGATCATGTGTTCCTGAAGCTGTCACCGGTTACGGGTGTGGGACGAGCCCTTGGAGTGAGGAAGCTGAGTCCGAGATTTATTGGACCCTACCAGATTCTTCGTAGGGTGGGACCGGTTGTCTACCAGCTTGCTTTACCTCCGCAATTAGCAAATTTGCATGATGTGTTTCATGTTTCTCAGCTGAGGAAATATGTAGCTGATCCTTCTCATGTGGTTCAACCTGATAATGTTGAGATCCGGGAGAATTTGAAGACTCCTATTGGGCCACTGAAGATACTCGAAAGAGATGAGAAGAAGCTGAAAAATAAATCTATTCCTATGGTGAAAGTCCAATGGAAAGGAAGGACGCCTGAAGAGTCCACTTGGGAGCGGGAAGATGAGCTTCTCCGGCAATATCCTGAGTTTAAGGACAGGTACGTTCTTGATTTTGCGGACAAAATCGCTAAAAGGTGGGGTGATTATAATAGCCCAACTTAATTAATTAGTAAATCTAGTGTAATTAATTAATTAAACATGTTTTGGTGAGTGAAATTAAGTATAAGGCTTAATTAAATGAATCTGAGTCACTTTGGAGTTAAAAAGTGTACTCAGTGAAAATTAAGGGGTATAAATGGGTACTGGTGAAAGTACCCAAATTATAAAAATAAAAATAGTATCATTCCTAGAATAATATTCCAGACTTTTGGGTAAAGTTTGGTAATTATTGGAGTTGAATAGATAGACGAACCAATACCCGCTTAAAGCCACTTAACCTATGTTAAGTGACTTAAGCTACTAAAAGAACCCATTTTCCCCCCATCCCCCGTCGAGCCAGAAACAGAGAGAAGAAGAAGAAGAAGGAGAAAGGAGGGAGAAGGAAGGGAGGAAGAGAGAGAGAAAGATCAAACCTTAACCGATTTGAGTGATTCAAAAGCCTAAATCGCTTAGAATCTCGCCCTCTTTCATAATCCTTGCTTTGTTTTGAGTGGGGAGCATTGTGGAGAGGGATATTGCCTCTCAAAAATTCGGCCATTGGAGAGATTTTGGGGTTTTGGGAAGTTCAACCTCCATAGGAGCTTGAGGAACACTCCTTGCTTGGTTGTGTGACCCTTGGTGGTAAGATTCTAACCCTTGAACCTCATGATTCCTTGAAATTTGTATGAGTTAGGGTTTATGAATAGTGTTTTAGGGATTTTGATGAAATGTTGTTAAATTAGCTATGTTCTAGGAAGAATGGAGCTTAGAGCATGTTATGAAAAATGCTAGGAATATCATTTAATCGGTGAAAATGAGCTTAGATAGCTAAATGAGTATACTTGTAAAATGGCAAGAATATGATGCTTGATATTGGATTTCTTGCATTGTTGATGAATGATATGACTTGGTTGATTGATGATTGTGTCCTAATGATGTCTAGGATTGAGACATTTGGACCGACCGTGAGTGATCAACCGCTTGAGCAAGCTATGGAGCTTGAGTAGCTCATTGGAATTGGTAAGCTCATACTTGTGTAGTATTTTGAATTGAGTAGTTGATGGTTGATTGTGAAATACTCTTGGATGCAATGTGTTGATTGCATTACACCATGTGTAGGTGTTGGTTTTGGAGTAGAGTATTGTTGACATTGGTGGTGAACAAAGGTCGAATTGAAGCTTGAGGTAAGCCTTCGGACCTTGGGTGTAATTCCCTTGATTGTTCTACCAAGCCCTGAAAGGGTAGTGGTAATTATAGTGTATATAAATGCAATGAAATAGTGTAATGCTTTGTTATACGTATGTGTATGCATTTGGTGTGGCATATGATGGTGTTCCCTATATGGTATGTTGCATGACGATGCGTAAATCATACTTGGTAGTTTAGCTGGCCAGTAGGACTATTTGCATCTGAGTTTCCTTAGGACAGCTTGAGAGCTCGAGGGATTTCTCCTGGAGATGTATTGCACTTTGCATAAATATGTATTTACTGCATTATTATTGTTATTGCTATTACACTGATACGGAACTGTGGGGTGGAGAGATGCTCCAAGGACCCCTGGTTTACTGGATATATTCGTATATCTCATCCCGTGTTGTGGGGACCCCCTTTCAGGTAAGGATGCTGCAGGAGCCTCTGGTGGCAAGTGGCCATATCTGGATTATGCATGAAATGTGGCATTTCTTTTGAGATTGTACATGTTGTTTTGTAGCTCACATGTATAGAATTAAATGAATAGGCAATGCTAGATTTATGATTTGTATATTGGAATGGACTTAGCCTATGCTCATGCCTTTGGTCATCTCTTTTGTTGATGGGAGCCAAGGGAATGATCATAGTGTTTTGTAAGCTAAGTTCCATGATTTGTAATGGATATGTAATGTAAATGATGCCTACTTGAAATTCGATATATGCATGCTTTTATGTATTGAGTTATTGAATTGGTTGGGCTGAGAAATCATATTAGGTACCTAGTTCTAAATTGGGAATTGTTGAGAAAACAAGGGTTATGCTGCCCAAATTTTAGTACAAGCCATGAGGAAAAGGGCATGCATGCCCCTTTAGATGTGTTTGTATCATGCAAGAACTAAGAACCATTTATGAAGAGGAAATTATATGATAGGTTGGGACGGTGGTGTATGTATGGAAGTTGTAGATATTTTTCTTAGCTTTCCATAGAGACCAATATTGTGTGAATTGGACATGTATAACTCTAGTTAGAGGTAAAATACTAAGAATTGTTGAAACCTTCAGAGCTTTGGCGCACCTGGCGCCAAACTTGGCGCACATCACGCCATTTTGCTCGAAAGCTTCTGTTTCGTGGCGCAAATCGCGCCGGGATCACCAGCTGGCGCACCTGGCGCCAACCTTGGCGCCTCCAGCGCCATTTCGATGGGGAGCTTCTGTTTCGTTGGCGCCCGCCGCGCCACAGCTGGCGCCGGTCGCGCCGGGATCAGCAGGATTCACGCGCTCGTTTCGTAGAAAACCCATAACTTGGGCTACAGTGCTCCGATTTGAGCGCGGTTTGAACCCACGCGTAGCTAACGAAGAGATCTACAATATAGTAGAAGTTGTGAAATAAACAAGAAGTAAATTAATGGTTGAAAAATGGAATAAGAACATGATGTTAAGTTTGGTTTATCTGATTCCGCAAGGTAATATGGTTATGATCACGCAATTGGATATTTTAAATTCGGCGTCGTTTTAAAAAGAAAAATTTATCCGGATTTTTAATTGAGCCAATGTGATTGTAACTGCGCTTAATATCATAATGCGATGTTAACAAACCAGTTCTAGAACGGGATGTTACACTCATACTAACTAATTGAACAAATTCAACTAACAAACAAGTATTCTGTACCTCTTCAGGTAACACAGCTCCTAATTATGATACAACACAGGAAAACATTTTATGCTTGGCAGTATGGATCCAATTGTTACAGTAAACATGGGCAATAACAGAATCAGAAAAAGAATATCTCATAAAAAAAGGGGAATCAAGCGCTACATGTAAATTGTATCTCTTCAGGTGACAACTTTATATCCTCCCTACTTGATTGTTGCATGATGTCTTGAATAAGCAAAGTCATATTAAGATGAGAAGATCCACCTTTTTCAACAGCTCTCTTTGCCATCTCACTGAGTTTAAGGGCCCTTTGGTTTCTTTCTTTACTTTCTTCTCCTTCATCCATCAGCAGGCATATTGCATTCTTAATATCTTCCTTCTTCACCATTACACCTACCTTTTCTTCCTCTCCCCAGTTCAATGGAACCTCTACCCCAAGGCTCACGCCAATCCTCAACACTTGAACAACAAGCTTCTCATTTAAGAATTGATCTGCAAATAATGGCCATGTAACCATTGGCACACCAGCACTTATCCCTTCAAGTGTGGAATTCCAACCGCAATGTGTTAAGAATCCTCCAATGGCAGGGTGTGATAATATTAGCACCTGTGGAGCCCAACCTCGAATTATAAGGCCTCTCCCCTTGGTCCTTTCTTCATACCCTTCTTCAATGATCCACTTTTCCAACTCATCAAACTTATTTCCTTCCCTAATAACCCATATAAATGGCCTTTCTGTGGCTTCCAAGGCCAAGGTCAACTCCATAAGTTGTGAAGGAATCAAATTGCATAAGCTTCCAAGACAAGCATATACCACAGAATTGGGTTGTTGCAAATCTAGCCACTTCAAGCAAATGTGTTCATCAATAGAGGCCTTGTTGCCTCTTTGAGCCTTATCCAAGCCATCTTCGTTGCAGAGTGAAACTGGGCCAATGCACCACACCTTATCATTTCTTTCCTTCTTGTAATCCCTGACATATGCTAGCTCCAACTCTTCAAAAGTATTTATGATTACACCATATGACTTTATTTCAGCATCCTGCATCTTCTCCCCAAAGTCCTTCAATTTATCTGTCAATGGTCCTGGTATCTGATCTTTGGTAACCTGAATTTGGTCAGGTATGCCAGGCACAGTGAAATACTCTGATTTTGAAGTGATGTTTTCATCAATCTTTGAAGTACGTATCTTGAGAAGGCAATGGAGGGCAAAGCAAGAAAACCCGTGGAATGAAATCCTTGGAATATGATGCTTTTCAGCAACTTGAGAAGTCCAAGGAATGCAAAAGTCAGAGATTATGCAACTTGGTTTTGGTGTAATTGTGTCGAACAATTCTTCTGCTGGCTTTTGGAGCATGCTAATTGCATGGAAGAAATTGTATATCATTTCTTTTGATGTTACCATGTCAAAACTCTCGGACCCGTCAGGAAGTCCTGCTTGTTTTGATGGAAAATGGAGTTGTACTATTCGGATTTGGAGGCCAGATGAAACAGCTCGAGAAAGAACTGAACTGAAACGTGATGCATTTTTTGGTGTTGTGAATATGGTAACAATCACACCACGCTTTGCCAAAAGCCTTGCAATGTCCATCATAGGGATGATGTGGCCTTGAGCCATTAGAGGAAACAAAATGAAATGAAGATTGTTTGCTTGAGAAACCATGGCTACTACTATACAAGAGGATAATGAATAGTATGTTGCTCACTCGTGTCTTTGTGGGGTTGTTTTTGCAGTGTTCTTTTTTTCCCTTTATTTATAAACAAAAAAAACAGAGTGTTTTGGGCTCTAGAACTTCTTAGTTGGTGACGTAAGTGCTTATGCAATGAGCATTGGATTATCTGAGGTAAGGTTGCAGTTGTGGTGCATAGATGGGACTAGAATCCTGTGGATGTCTTAACATGTTTTTTGCATCACAAACTAAAGATAAATTTTTGGTGCATGAAATGTACCCAACTTGATACACTTTTTTTTTTTTTTTTTTTTATATTTAGAAAAAAGTTTACAACGAGAAAAGATGTATCAATGGAACACATTTGATGCACCAAAAATTTATTCACAAATTAGGCCTTGACGCATACGAAAAGGAAGACAAGTGACGTGATGATTCAATTCAATGTTTACCAAAAAAACAGTGCTGCCCCTTGTGTATCTAGATATTTTGTTTTGCTGCCTCTTGAGTCTTGACCTCCATTATTAAGACAAGGACAATATTCTTCAGACAAATAACCTCGACCCAAGCATACGTGGAAAGTTCTGAGCCTTTTCCACCCATTCTATAATACAGAATTTCTCAACTTCGTTTGTTTTCTATTATCGAATTTCTCAACTTTATTTGTTTTCTATCTGTCCATACAATGGTAATTTCTTTTTAAGAAAACAAAAGATTGGGAGGATGTGGAAAAAGAATTTTTCTCTGGATTCCATTTTACAAATTTACAATTTCTTTTGTAGATCTTAAAGCCTACAATGTCATGAAATAAACATGTAAAAAAAAAAAATTAAAAAAATTGGTTCAAGTGGTAGATACTTAATTCCTCTTGAATAAGGTCTTCAGTTCAAGTACAGTGACATGGAAGTTCCTGGCTGGCACAAAATTATCTTTTGTGTAAAATATATGTGATTTATAAATGAGTTTGTTTTTTCTAAAGTTATTTTAGATAACTTTTATCTAATGTTCATCAAAACGACGTCGTTTTGAGATGAAAATTATGGTGTTTTTGTAATTTTAATTTATTTCAGGGTTATAATAGTCTTTATCATACTGATTTTTTAATTTTTAAATTCTTAAACGACATTGTTTGGATGAACATTAAACAAAATTGTCTAAAGTAACGTTAAATACTTTTTTTTTTCTTTATAAATAAAAAACATTTCCATGCATGATAAATTGACCTAATTTACGGTCTAACGAATGTGCTGTATGGCATGGATCAGATCACTGTTTCGCAAAAAAGCGTTTCCATATATATATATATATATGTGTGTGTGATGGGAAAACATTTTCTCATGTTGCATGATAATTCAATTCTCATGTTATGATTCTTTGATTTGCGTGCTAAGCTTTTCTTTTCTTTTTAATATATGCGGGATTCACCATTAGTTGTGTCACAACATGAGAATTGAATTCTCATGCAACTTGAGAAAATCAAATCCTATATATGATAAATTGACCAAATTTACTGGCGAACAAATTAATGTGCTGTATGGCATGGATCACATCACTTTTTATTGTGAACAAATCACAAATGTGTTGTATGGCATGGATCACATCACTTTTCATTGTTTGTTACCTTTCTTTATTGTTCAACGTTTGATACTGATTAGTGATTACCATAATTTTGTACAGTTTTTTATTTCGTATTTGTTTCTCAATTTTTTTCAGAAAGTTTCTCAAATTCTATTACCATAAAGTTAAAAAAAAAAAATCTAAAAAATTATTTGGTGATTATATAAAAAATTTAGCTTAAAAGCACACATTTCAAGAAAAGTTTCTCTGTAAAAAAAAAAAGTCTCTCTCTATCTCTATGGCTCTTTATATATATATATAAAGCACATAATTCGTTTATAAAAAAAGAAAGAACATAATTCAAGAAAAGCTGATAAGAGTTTAATTTTTTTTTTTCTCCTAGGAACTTTTGTCTTTTGTCTTTTGACTTTTTTCTTCATTATAAAAAAAAACATTTTCATTATAAGAATTTTTCTTAAAACTTGTTAGACTTAACTTCTATTTATAAAAAGAAGAAAAACTAAAAATAAAAATATCCAAATAGGCACTAAGTTCCTTTTTCTTCAAACCAACCAACAATGGTTGGATTTGAGTTTAAGACAAACAATTCAAATCTTAATCTATGATTTAATAATTTGTTGGAAAGCCATGGGAATTTATCTAATGGTAAAGAATTTGAATAATGTTTATGAGATTATTTATTTATGAAATTATATGTTTGAATTTCATTACTATTATTATATCAAACCATTATATAAAAAATAAAATAAAATAAGAATTGTTGGACACTGCCGTCAAAATACATCATGGGCGTTAACTTTTTTTCTTCGATGCCTTTTTTGTATTTCGAGCAAAATCTAATGCTCTTTTTCCTAGAGAAATTTTATATGGTCTTTCCCCAATAATTAAAAGTTTTATGTTACTTAAGAATAAAACTATTTTTTAGTGGTCCTACTTGAAATTTTGTGTCTTTTGCGGTTTTTTAAAATTGTCAGAGATAAAGGGATTGGTTCAAGTGGTTTATATTTGATTCTATTTAAGTAAGGTTTGAATTCAAGTCTTTGTGAATATAAAAAATTTCAAGAGCTAACCCCACCATAATATGAATGTTCTTGACTCAAATATAATTGTCTCTCTCATAAAAAATACCTGTGATTTATGAAGAAATTTTTTTTGCCATGTTATGTGTTAAGTCTTCTCCCTTCACTAATATAGTAATAATTTTAACGACAAGGTTCATACAATGAAAAAGTGAAAAATTACCATTTTAATTATCAATCAATGATTTATTAATGAAAGCTTGAGGTTCAACACATTATCATATTTAAAAGAGAAATAAAAGAATCAATTTTCAAAATTTTCAAGTCTGGTTGGTGAGTACATCTTTGGTACTCTTGTAGTGTCTACTCTTTTATTGAAAAAAAAGTAAAAAATAAAAATTGTATGACATTAATCATAAAAGGGTGAGTATAATAGATAAAGTGAATTGTATTATTATTATGTATTTTGTTTTAGTAAAAGTTGTGATGAATCTTTGATCTGTAATAATAAAGAAATTTTCCTAGTTAGGGTTTTGGCTTTTGAAAGTGCAATATTCAAAAATAAAATAAAAAAATTACGCTTGCAGCGCAAACCTTCAAATGATTGAGCGCTCAATGAAGCGCTGAGCATTAATTAATATATATATATATATATATATATATATATATATATATATATATTATATATTTACGTATATGCGTTAATAATAATAATAATAATAAAGAAATAAGTAATTACTAAAATAAAATAATAATAATAATAATAATAATAATAATAAGTAAATTGATAAATGAAGAAATATAGATATTTATATATATATATATATATATATATATATATATATATATATAAAAACTACATAAAACAAAAAAAATTAAGTTTTCAGCACTGAGGCTGCGCTTCTAGCATAGAGGTTAGAGGTATTGGATATGTATATATAATTACTTATATATATGTATATCATAATTGTAAAATAATTATTAAATAATAAAATATAAATAAATAATAAATATAACAGCAATATAATAAAAATAAAATAAAATACCATAGTAATAAATAAATATTAAAAAGTTAAAATAATATATATATATATATATATATATATATATATATATAGTGTATAATAAATTGAAAATAAAGGACAGAAATTAAAAACGCTACGTGGTAACACCCCACATCTCCAGCACAATGAAAGTAGAAGATTCTTTTAACAAAACAATCATTACATGATCTAGATATTATTTAGGAAAAGAAGAGATTACATAATATGAGTTACGTAATCTATACACGTAATACATTTTTCTCTATATAAATACGTCCTTGCATAAAATGAAAGGAAGAAGAATCAAGACAGAGAGTAAGAAAGAACATAAGAAAATCTTAAGAGAGAAAACAAGAGGAATTGGGAGGAGAAAAGGAAACAGAATCAAAAGAAGGTAATATTGGGTGATGACAAAAGTTCTCTCATTTTTTTTTATTTTTTTTTTCAAAACAAAGATTTATTTACAAGCCTCTGTTGTTCTGCCAAATTATTCTTTACTTGGAGTTTATTTCGTCACAGTAGTTTGATTTGTTCAGTATTTTATTTCTTACAGTATCTATAGTTTCTTTTAAATTTTATTTCCTTTCACATACTAATTATATAGTGGAGTAATTAATTGGTACCAAATAATTACAAAGAAAATGTGTAAATTTTAATAAATTTATAGATTGTAGGACCAATGTAAAATAACTTCCGTATGTACCTGACTTAATATTATCTATAAAGTAGTGTTGATAGATGTTTATATAGTTCCCTTTTTAATTGTTCTTATCATCAATAGTAAATTTTAATAAATCAATCTATATTAATTAATAACATTAACTCCTTTTCAACTTATTTATCACCGATTATGCATAAAGAGAAAGCATAATAAATTAAAAAAAATCATGTAATATTCCTTATAAAAGTTAATGTTAATGGATGTTACAGAAAGCAACTAAAGTGTCACTCCAAAATTCGAGGAGCTAGTAGATTTGTGTTGGAACAAGCCGCTTGCGAGGTTTCTCAAGAATTTGTGCTCTCCACACAACTATATGTTCTTCATCCTTTGAGGGATTAGGAAAATCACAGACATTCTAATTAAGATAGCTGCTAAACAAGAAGCTTTTCTTATTTGGAACTCTCATCTTGATTGTTGCGTCTCTCCCTACTTCTAGATACAAATATACGATGAGAACAAATAACTCCTTAGATGTCCTTTTCTTTGTGCCCTTTGCACCATAGAAATCGTATATGTTCCTGTGAGACAATGAAGTATAATAAATGAGGCTAAGCTTTGTATATTCTTTTTCCACCATAATTCGAACATAAATTCTCAATTGATCATCAGACATTCTCCCTATTAAATTCCATTTTTTTTTGGTTCCCAACTCCTCAAACTCAAGATATCCTACCAAGGTGAGC